CGGACACCAGTGGTGCAAGTGGCGAATGGTAATGTGCACCATACAACTTGTATTTGTTAAGAGGATAGAGGAGATAATACAGCACAATGAGAAAGGTGCATTTTCTGCTGTTTCCACTGGACATAGGACCACTTCAAATTCAGCCTCTGAGCATCACAGAGGTGAGTAACATTCAGCTGCATCGACTGGAGCAGGTGTTCCTGTACACTGATGAYGTTTAGTGCCTGAACTACTGCATGGATCATGGCTCGACTGAAATCCATTCAAATGTTCTGGGGCTTTAAGTGTTTCTGACACAACAACAAGTCACAGCMATTCAGGTTTGTTTTTGTSGTTTGATCAGATGTTAGCATTTCAGCCACAATTCCTAATCTTTTGTAGCAGCATCCTCCACATGACCGCCCACCCCCCAGCCACCCCCCGGACAAGGTGTCCTGGTTTTCCCAAATGAAAATATGGTCACCCTAATAAAAAGCTCTGCACACAAACAATAAAAAGTGACAGTTTATTGTTAACTGTTTGAGGAGGACTCAGTAATGACAAAGAAAACATTCTGAAGTAGCTCTGGAGCATTAACACAGGACAAGAAAACAGTCCATTCCACTCAGGCAGGCTCACATAGGGCACTGTTCCAGAGACACAAAATCTAAATTATGGAATGAGTAAGATTTGAGAGCTGATTGAAATGCAGTGAAAGTGAAGTTGTTGTTCAGGTAAACTTTTCCATTCAATAACAAAACACCAAATAATACCATCATGGACATAAGGAGCAAACACGAAGCATGTATTTCGATTGCACAGCCATTCGATACAGCGCAGTACGAGCGGCACCTGAAGGCAGCAGCAGTCAACGCGATGAAACCCTGACACCCAATAGGCTGAACCGGGCAGGTCACCTGACCCGCACTCTGAATCACGTGACCCATATTCCATCCACGCCATTTTACAATGTGGGACAGAGTGAGGCCACTTTTTTTTTTATGGCTAACGAATAAAATGTGAAGTAGTTTTATGCGCTGAGGACAAAGAGCGTCGCGGGTTTCTGAGTTAGTGAGTATACCTCCATCACAACACGAGCACGCGCTCCTCCGCCACCCAGCGACCGGAAACAGTTTCCAAACGTCCTTGTGTCGTGAAGGGACTGAGAGCTGCCACTGTGTGACACTCGTGTGTTTGAGCAGCAGCAAGCTAGCAGCTAAGCTAACAGTGTTGTCCCCTGCCTCCTCACTTTGGTTGAGTTTTTTTCTCCGCACGAAAGAGTCCCCAGCGTGTTCAGGCAGCTGCAGCGTGCTAGCTAGCATTAGCCCTGTGGTGCCTGGCTGTGTGAGCAGCTCAGGGCTGAGCCCCGCTTCTCACTGGGGAGGGAATATTTTTAGACCCTGACATAACAGGTGCTCATCTGCGGCTGGGCAGATCACACGATGGCCCGAGACTGACCACACTCACCGGTCAGCCTGATCGATAATCTGTCAGCTGTGCTATACCAGCGTTTCTAATGTTATCCCACCATGCACTGTTTATCTGGGACATTTACATTGTTAGCTGGGACATGAAGAAGCCTGTTGTTTGGTTTTACAATCCGTTTATCTTGTGTACAGGGATAATGAGACTGGGTCTGTTCCCTGATATTAGCCAGTGGTTTGTGCATGTGTGTCCTGCTGTGTGTAATCTAGTCCCACACAAGCAGAAGTGGGAGAAAGAGGAAGGTGAACTGTGGTCAGAAAGTGACAAAGAGGAAAGTTTGCGGACGGATCAGTTCCTTCAAGCTGCGTTTGTAAACAGATGCACATGGTGCACGTGTGTTCAAGTCAGCAGTGAGGGGGCTTATCATCATGGAGTTAAGATATCACACTTATCACTGTCTCACTTCACTTTTCCTTGAAACAGCCGATCCCCCCACTACACTAAATAATGTGGTATGGACCAATAACAGGCTTATTTAGTGATAGAACCACACTGTGTTTAGATCAACACATGCTGCTGATTGAAATCATAGTAAGTTTATTATCAATATGCACAAATGGTTCAAATTCATTGGTGAACACAAACACTCAGTGTGTGATGATTTGTTGTTCAGTGTTGTACGGTTGGGAGCTGAACACTGAGCCACAGCGACTACTTTTATTTTAAAACAAATCCTTTAGCCACAAACATTCTCATCGTGATATCTAATATTATTAATGAATTATGAAATGTAATTAGCAAGTAATGATGAACTGGATATAATAAGTGTATATTTTATCAAGCATAAAATGCTAAACATCCATTAATTTGAGCATCTTAAATGCAAAAATTGGCTGCATATTGACTTAATGTAAATTGTATATCACTGAGCTTGAAATGTTACCTTTGACACTTTTTACTCTTCCAGAATTTAAAAGAACCACTGCAGTGTCTGTTCTAAACATGCCTGTTTGGAATGGGATGTTTGCTTGGCCTATAATAATGCTGGGTACAGCTACTCTGCTAGCCTGTTTATTCACAGTTAATTTATAGTGAGCATATGGGGCTGGGCTATATGACTTCAAATCAATATTCAATACATTCAATAATCAAATTGATCATTTTATACCAACCGTTGAGTCATAATCTCTGTGAAGAACTTTTCTTCTGTCTGCTGGAGTGAGTGTGTGTGTGAGTGAGTGTGTGTGTGAGTGAGTGTGTGTGTGAGTGAGTGTGTGTCCACTTCACACAAACTAAACTTATTTAATCATTGATGGGATTTCTTCCTCTGCTCTCTGACAGGTCATGGAAGAGATCAGCAATGTAGCTGTACTCACCACACACTCCTCCACTGCCTCCTCTTCCTCCTCCAATCCACTGGAATCCCCTGCTCAAAGCCAAACCCGACAGGCCGTTAAGGAAGACACCTCTCAGATTTTTCAACACAAGCAAGCTCCCAATTCTCTGATCCGAGTCATTGAGAAGCTCAGTAAAATAGTGGAGAAGCGTCCCCAGCGCACCTGCATCTCTGCAGCACAGAAAAGAGCTTTACAACAGGCCTCTTCTGCACTAGCAGGAGGAGGTGATGACGGGACGAAGGGGAGCAGAGGAAGCTCTCCCATTAAGAAAATAAAGAGGAACGTCAAGGTGATGAGATTAGATGGCAGCCCAGCTGACCGTGCTCTTTCTCCACCTGTGTCAGGCGACAGTAACAATAACGTCACCTCCACAGTAACAGAGAACTGTGACAGCCCCATCAGCAGCAACCAAAAGTGGACAGTAACATGCTATCAGTGCAGCCTGTGTCCATATCTCTCCCAAACACTGCCCCTGCTCAAAGAGCACCTGAAGCAGCACAATGAGCTGAACAGTGATGTCATCCTCATGTGCTCAGAGTGTCACTTTACCTCCAGAGACCAGGGGCAGCTTGAGGCACATGTCAGGCTCCACTTGGACAATGGAGGAAACCTGAAGAGAGATTTCACTCCGTCGGATACCTATAGCGATAGGAAGGAAGATGTTTTAAGAAAGCAGGATGGGGACTGGACTGGGAGCAGTGGCAGTATGGGAACTGAGGTCATCAAAAGTTCAGCGGACAGTTCTGAGGCGCTGCCACAGAAGAAGAAATGGTACAGCTATGAGGAGTATGGACTGTACCGCTGCCTAATCTGCAGCTACGTCTGCAGCCAGCAGCGGATGCTAAAGACTCATGCCTGGAAGCATGCTGGTCTGGTCGACTGCTCTTACCCCATCTTCGAGGGTGAAGACGGGGCAGTGAGAGAGTTCAAGGCTGCAGCTAACCCTGCCATGACCAGAGAGGAAACTGTAGTTTTTTCCCCAGCTCTTCAAGATAAAAGCCTGCAAAAGCTGCCCACTGCCTTCAAGCTCCAGCTACTGCCACTGGCTGTCGACGGTAAACAGGGTCTGTTGAATCAGCCTTTTTCTAATCTTGATGAAAGTCTAAAAACGGCAGGGGAAGAGGAGGAACGTGTGTATCCCATCAAGGACCTGACATCACAGGAGCCCCTGGTGGAAGTGCAGGTGATGACGGTGGCGGAGACTGAGGTTGAGATAGATGGTCACCATGATAGTGCCTCTATCACGGACAGTTTACTGTCATCGGCCCAGAAGATTATCAACAGCAGTCCCAACAGTGCCGGCCGGATCAACGTGATTGTAGAACGTCTTCCCTCGGCTGAGGATTCAGTCATGACAACTAACCCACTTCTTCTTAGCCCAGACGTGGACAGGGACAAGAGCCTACAGGATGTGGAGGAGCAAGAGCGTGACCACATTGGAACTGTGAAGGAGGAGGTGGTCCTTGGCTGCAGTGCAGACGCTGCTGACAGCCAGGCATTTAGTGCTGATATTAAATCCTCTGTTGCCATAAGTAGCAACTCTCCACGGGATGAAAACGTTCCCCCAGCTGGTCGCAAAAGAACACATTCTGAGTCCCTCCGCCTGCACTCCCTGGCTGCTGAGGCCCTGGTAGCCATGCCTATGAGGACCGCTGAGCTCTCCACCTCCAGCCCCAAACTAAGCATGAAGACCATCACAGGCCAGACTCAGTGCTCAAACATGGGCCAGAAACTGGTAGAAATGACAACAGCCGGGCAGAAGTCTCCCGACGTGGGAACGACGGCAGCTCTATTGGACTTGGAACTTCATAGGGAGGACAGTGAGGAAGAAGAGTTGGGGCCCCTGGGACTCAGGGAGGTAGACGAGGAGGGCCCTGCAACTAAAGCTGGCATTAGCTTGTCGCTGCTCACCGTCATTGAAAGACTCAGAGAGCGTTCGGACCAGAATGCCTCTGATGAAGATATCTTAAAAGAGCTTCAGGACAACGCACAGTTCCAAAACGGGGCCGTGGCCGGTGTGGTCACAGGCAGCGGAGCTGGGAGTTACATGTGTGCCATTCCACGAATGGATGGGTTGGTTGCTTCTCCGGATGGTGGTCTGGTGGACTACATCCCTGGCAGTGAAAGGCCATACAGATGCCGCCTATGTCGCTACAGTAGCAGCAACAAGGGCTACATCAAACACCACCTGCGGGTTCACAGACAGAGGCAGCCGTATCAGTGTCCCATCTGTGATCACATCGCCTCAGACAGCATGGACCTGGAGAGCCATATGATCCACCACTGCAAGACCAGGATGTACCGGTGCAAGCAGTGCCCAGATGCCTTTCACTATAAGGTGAGGAGATGTCAACTTTCACACGCAGAGTTTAAATCCTGTTATGTGATCTAGCAATTAGTACCATACTATATTATTATGAATTTTGAAATTCATTGAGTTTGCTGGTGTTAAGTCTGAATTAGCCTTTTCGTCATGGCAGAATGGTCCAGGTTCAAGTGCAGGTCACACAGAGCTACAGACTTTATACACCATCCATATGTATTTCCTAGGAAATCTAACACTGATAGTGCACCTCTGTTTCACCTGTGACACATTTGTAACAGTCACCCCCTCACCAATGTAATTAAAAATGGAATGTTCCGATGAAGAGTAAAGATTTACATAGTTAAGTTATGAAATAAAGTGAGATACACAGTACTATGACTATGAACATCTGAACTGTTGAATACTGTGGTTGTATTGAAATGATTGTGAGACGTGTTGCAAATCAATGAGCAGGATTGTTTTAATGGAAATAACAGATTTTGTTTTCATCAGTGTAATTAAGCAACTTGATTTGGATATTTAAAGGACATATGTCAAATAAATTGAAATTAATATATTCATAACAGTGTTTTAATTAATAAATAATCAACTTAAATTAATAATGAGCCAAGAATGAGCCCTTCATAGCCTCATAGGGACTGGGTCCTCCAAACTAAACAGTGGCCCAAAGACATCAACAGACGCTAATGCTCCCGTGGCTCCTGAATCTTTTGTGGTTATAGTCATGATGTAAGCATGTAAACCAACATCCTGAAGAGCAGGATGTATTTAATCATTTTCTGCTCATCCACAAGACTTGTTTTCCTTTGTCTACCAGGTTATTTTCCATTATCTGTTTTTCTTGTACACATCTTTTTGTTTTGAGTGTAAACCAAGTTAGATTTTGCAAACACAACTCAGGATTTTGGAAAAAATCTACCCTTTTGTTTTTGGTCATTTACTTACTATTTTGACTGACAACTTCAACTCAGATCTGAGATCTTGTGTATAAACAAAAAAATCTATTGAAATATGCAGACATTGGCTTGTACAGACACCCAGAAATCCAGACGCCCCATCCTGCCAATAGATTTTACTTCTCAGCAATTACAAACATTAAAGAAGAGGAGTTGAGGCCTATAGAGGCCTTTAATTAGCTGCGTGAAGTACCTGTGTGAAGAGAGGTTCTCTGTTGTTAAAAGTTGGAGCCCGGTGCCGCTCGGCATGAAAGTTTGTCTTAGTTTGATGATGCAACCGAGGAGAAAACCATTGATCCACTGTTGTCATGGGAGTCGAGTAATGATCTGCTGCAGAGGTTATTAAATTCAACATATCATTCAGCAGTTTTGGGAGTTAAGCTGAAAGAGTTTATAATTGTGGAGGGTGGAAGCTGGCCCACTGCTATTTTCACTCCACAGGTGGTATTACTGATTTAGACGGCCTTTTAAACCTGCATGCTGCTGCTTTAAATGTCAACTACATACATTATCCCTCCTTTGTGTAGAGACTTTATTCTCTTTGTGTTTTCTTCACTCAGAGTCAGTTAAGAAACCATGAAAGAGAGCACCACAGCTTCAGCAGCGACATGGCAGCCCTCACAGACGTCACTGAAGCTGCAGCCACAGTGGAGGAAGCCGAGCGGGTAACAGACGATGGTAAGACTGTTTCAGGATATTTAAATGAACGACTAACGCTCTCCATCCTCAGTGTCAGGTCTTCTGTTGTTGTCATGTGATTTGTTTTTGTCGGTGTCGTTTTCAGAAAGTTGTTGATCTGTTTCCTGTTTCCTGTGTGATAGATTGTGCAAAGCAGAAGATGTACAAATGTGATGTGTGCGACTACACCAGCTCCACATATGTTGGGGTGAGAAACCACCGACGGATTCATAACTCTGACAAGCCTTATCGGTGAGTTGTTAAGAAAACTTGTAGAAATGCACCACTATCACCTATAAGTTCTCATACCAGTCACTGCCGAATCCAGACTTACCATGATTCTATAAGTCCTGAGTAAAGTCTTAAATGTACAGTGTGTAGAATTTTGTGATATCTAGTGTTGAAATTTCCTGTTGCAGCTGAACACCCCTCACCCCACCCTCTCCTTCCAAACATGAAAAGAACCTGTGGTAGCATCAGTTGTCATAAAAACTCAAAAGGTTTTTAGTTTGTCCAGTCTGGACTAACGTAAAAAACATGGCAGCCTCCATAGAGAGGGTCCCCTCAATGTAAATATAAAGTATTTAAATATAAAGGACCTTTTCTGGGCTAAAGAAAACTACAATTTGTACAATTTAGATGAAATGAACTAGTGAAAACATCATGAGGATTATTCTACATTAAATTTCTGCCAATAGTTCCCTTTCACCTAAAAATTACACACTGGACCTTTAAATGATGATGATCATGATTAAAGTAAAGCCCTGAAAAGAATTACTTGCAATAACTAGTAGCTATGAGTTACTGGTGTAACACATTTCAGTTTCCATGCAGCTTGATTCAGTATTTTGTTTCTATCATATCTTAATGTAGGAGTACATGTGATTGATGTTACTTAAAGTTTTCTTGCAACGGTCCAGATGCTAGAACATCATGAGTGTTTGAAAACATTTTTCCAGCCGGAGGAAGAGTCGTGGAATGTTTAGTGTTTTGCCAAATCTCAACTGGTCATTTAAAATATGTGGTAAAAAGGTTGTTGGTACCACCTTTAAAGGATAGAATATCTTTAAGAGAACAATACCATTCCTGTGTTTCTATTGTATCCTGTGTAGTAGTGTTAGTGGTCAGTGAGTAGGACGTGTTTAGTTTTCACTTCCCTTCTCAGGCAGTGAGGGCAAACCCAATACCACACTTTCCAGATTTCATTCATGTGCTAGTTCCCATTCAGCCCTCTCTATGTAAAGATGTTGATGTCAGAAGGATCCATTAGATGGCAGTACATCCCCAGTAATGCTGAGAGCTGCACTGTGATGTCCCTGTGTAGGCACAGTCACACACTGAGTGCTCTCTGTCTGACTTCCATGCTCTGGATTAGCACTTGGCCTTTGTGTTAACAAGTAGCTGCCATGAGGTCACAACACATATGGGTGTTAACGTCACCTTTCTTAACTGTTTACTGTCGCCTCTGCTCTAAGGTCAGATGTTTAAACACACACACACACATTCTTGTACTTATATCTTCGTGAGAACATAATGCATTCCCTAGCCCCTTACCCTAACCTTAACCATCACAACTAAATGCCAAACTGTAACCCTTACCCTAAACTAAATTCTAACTCTTACCCTAAAACCAATTCTTAACCCATAAACAACCTTTTGAAAAGGTGAAGACCGGCCAAAATGTCCTCACTTTCCAAAAAATATCCTCATTCCGTAAGGTCTATATCAAAATGGTCCTCACACACATATAAGTGCAAACACTCAAACACACACTCTGCAGGACCTCTTTCTGCTCTGGAAAAGGTCAGGCGGCATTTAATTTGTTTTTCCGGCCAGAATCATCAAGCATCCATCTAGCCAATGGTTCAGGGTAAAAGATTCAGATATACGTGGTTTATGAGTATTAGTCTGGTGTTTCTAATTAAGTAAATATTAAATGTTTTGCTGATCCTTTCCACATGAAGTCTGTGATTCTGTCAAATTTAATATATACAGTAATGTAACGGAAAGATTGAGATGTGGATGGGATCTCTGGGAGCTACACAGAGATCTGTAGGTGTTGAGAACATAGTGAGACTATGAGGTGCTGCTGCTGTCTGCTGTGCAGTCCAGAGGCAGAGGGACAGGGTTACACTCCACTATGTTGCCAGGGCTGAATGCCGGGCTCTAATTAAAGCAGTAGTTGAACATTTGCTAAGTGATGCAAAAATGTATCACTCTAATGTCGGTTTGATAAATATGAAGCTTCAGCCAGTTAGCCCAGCTTACCTTACCATAAGGACTTCACACTAACAAACTATCAGCACCACAAAATCCTACTAACTTATCATGTTCCACTTTGTTTGGGGATTGTTTTCTGGACTGTTTGTTGGTTGGGAGCTGGAACCTCTTGTTGCTTCTGTGTGAGACTTCACAAAGAAAAAAACCAAAATACTCACAAACAGTTGTTTGACTCTTGTACTGTCTGAGTACATACACATTGTTCAAGTTGTTGACCATAATGCAGCCTTAACATTTCCATGTCATGCTATTGCCATCTCCCATTTTGAAAACAGTAAATGTCTGAAATATTAAAATTTTAAATCAGTGTCCTATCACCGTTTATTTTAAAGCCACCACAGACAACAGTATTGTTATAACACAGTCACAGATCAAGTCCAGAATGATCCACAGGTTTGGACTTAAATTGTGTAGTTGTATAGCAAGATGCAACAAAATGTTCCATGAAAGGGGACTGACCATACATTCAAATCTAACTATATAAAGGTAACAATGCTAAAACATAACATGCTTCATGTTTTACATTTGCAAAATAAATGTGTAATCAGTAGTTAGTTGAAATAGAATTAATATAAACAATTACACTCTGTTGAAACTGTAGTGAAAGTGTTTTTGTTTTTTCAGAAAGTTTTCTTGTACTCTGTTGGTCAGATCTGTGTTTTTAATATTCCAGCCCCGCTCAACCTCAGTTTATAAAGTTCAGTTTTGTGTTATTTTTTATTTTAATGCAGTGCAAATGTCTGTGAGTTGACTGCAGCCTTTGTTTGCAGACCTTGTATTTGCCTCCAAGCAACTAAAAAGCCAGTTTCATCTTCCAACCATAACATCCGAAGTTCAGCAAAGAAGAAAACGTTATGATTTATCCTTTTTTTTCTTTTTTCTAAAAGTAGCAATATCCTCCCTGTTTTGTTATAAATCCCTTATCTCCCTTCAGGCTACAAGTGTAAAGAAGCAACATGATGACCCCAGAAGGCAGCTTGTTAAAGTAGCCGCTCTGTCTCGATGTTCTCTCATCTCTCGATTCTCCCTTTTTTCCATCTGCTAGGTGCTGTAGCTGTGACTTTGCCACCACCAACATGAACAGTTTGAAGAGCCACATGAGGAGGCACCCTCAGGAGCACCAAGCTGTGCAGCTCCTGGAGCAGTACAGGTGAGAAACATGGAGCACGCATTCAATTCAGAGAGAGAATGAGACAATTTACACCTGGCTTTGAAATGTGTTTTTAGAGATCAGATTGCAGTCAGATTTAATCGCATGAAAGTAAATACATAAGACAGTTTTATGATCCGAAAGATCACCAGAGGAGGTCAGCAACACATTGTGACAACATTGAATGCAGATGCATTGCTACTCCACATACAACAATTTAGTAGGAAGAAATAATAATCTAGGATATGCTAAACTAATGGCTGCTAATCTCTGAGGCAATCGACTATCATCTGATTACAAATTAACCTCTCAGACAACATTCTGGGGCTTCCTGTGTTGACAGCGCTTATCCTGGCCAAGACTTTCCGTTCGCTGTCCACGGTTCAAAGTCCGACGAGTCCAGCGATTCAAATTCAGTAGATATCTGAGACGGCATTTTGAGAAATCTCTATTATCAGCTATAGTGACGTGCAGAAAGCTTTTACGATTTTCTGCGAGTAGTCTTTAGCCAGTAAACAGGAATAAGTCCTCTCACCTGTACTCATGTTATTCAGGGCACCTGTGGATGGAGTGAAGTCAAGACCAAACAAAAAGCAAGAAAACACAATAACACTGAGTCATGAACGGCTAGCATCTCCTTCTTTTTTTGGACTTGATCAAACGAGAGGAGGACGTAAAGTGAGCTGGACAGAGTGATCAGATCTCTGTATGAACACTGGAAACACGTAATAATGCCAGTTGTAAATGTAGTCGGGTAGAAAATAACTCAAATGCAAATGGAGTCCGAGAGATGATAAGAATTATAAGAATGAGCACAGACAGAAAGAGCTGCTGGGGTTATCTGAGGCCGTGTGTGTGTGTGTGTCCGTGTGTGTGTGCCCGTGTGTGTGTGTCCACACTTGTGGGCTCTAATGGTGCCAACGCACTGGAGACTTGACAAATGGGCTTCTGATTACAAGGTTAGTTGTTGGTGGGAGTTTATATTCAGTCCCTCTTTAAATATTATATATCTTCTCCACTCTGTGCATGGCACTGATTGCTGATTTCCACTTGTGCTGTATTATACAGTCATCAGAAGCTGCAGTGCTGGAATGTACAAGTCCATACAGTGCAAATGAAACATAATGATATTCTTTGTCCATTAAATCGGCACTTAAGTTATTTTGTGCTTTTATGAAATCAAAGGTGAAATGGCTCGCTCTTTATTCATCACTGTGGAGGAAGAGATGTGCAAAATAGAAAAAAAATACAAACATGTAAATACAAATATTTAAACAAACTAATACAATTGGAAAGATATGTGCAATGATATTAAATGGAAAAAAAACTGCAAATCTTCAGAACAAAAGTTGAAAAGTGTAGTTAAAGAGGATGATATATCCTGGTGACTTTTAGGTGACTTTCACTCCTGTATTGCAGTTGATTTGGTCCAGACCAAGAGAAAAAGTGATTTTTTTTTTGTTCAGGTCTGTGGACGTGCAGAGAATCATATTCTGGTGACTGACACTAAGTCAGGCTGCACTTTACTCGCACTAATGTTTTTATTCATCTTGTGTGGCGTCACAGAGATAGAACTAATGAGCCTCATTAGCCCACACTGCAGTTGGCCTCATATGTCATGAACAATGCTGACGAGGTAGAAGCTGCATGAAGAAGAGGCGTTTGTGGCGTGATGTTAAGGGATGGGGAAATAACTGCTGTGTGGACACCATGTTTCACTGACTTTTAAACACTTAAGTACCCAGAATATTAGGCAAGCTTATCATTTTGCAGTTGTAATGCCTTTGTACTTTGTCATGCACCAGGGAAAATGCCTGCAGTCACATGCATTACTATGCTGACAAATGATCATGTTAAATATAAATGCTGCGGACAGATAGTGTCAATGAGAGTTCACGATCAGCACATGGATTTAGGGTCCTTCAATTCAACCCCTGCCTTCTAGTCCTTGGCCAAGATACTGCATTCCAAATTATCCTGATAGCTATACTGAATGGATGCAGTGTAAAACAATTTGAGTGGTCATGAAGACTTTGATCAATTAAATTGATTGGTTCCTCAATTGACCATTTATTAGGAGTTTACCTTTTGAATTCATGCTAAACTTTCTTATCAACTGTCACACACAGTCCTGCTGTTGCTTTCATACAAAAGTAAAGGTCCGGTTGGTCCACCTGACAGATGTGGAGTCAGGTCAGATTTGGTCTCGGATCATTATGAAAGGACAGATTAGAGCATGAAAGGCTGCTATAGTCTTATGTAAGAGTCCTGCATGGGTCAATATTTGCAAACTGGCGCCAGCAAAGCCCTGTACTGACCTGAAGTCAACTCTTGACCCGCCTGGACTGTTAACATATGACCCTTCTACATGCCTACATACACAGTCACTCACGTCAAATGGGTTCAGTCCTCCTTGTTCTCCCAGTGGTTGAGTTGGGTTCTTGGAATGGTTGTGAATGGTTGCAGCACCTGTTCTTCTGTGGCTGTGTGTGCCACTGAGAACATACACACCACTGGCTATTTCTGTCTTTATGTGATGTGAACCATTTTGATCTTTTAGTTAGTTTACTGTTAGTACAGTTGACTTTCACAATAAAACAAATCATTGGCTTCATATGATTTCATTTAGATGTAAAACATACTTAACAATGATTTTAATTACTGATATGTCCTGTAAAATAGTGTTTGAGTTCTCACCCCCTTTTCGTGTTTATTTGTGTCCATACCCTTGAATTTATATAAACATGCTTACAGAAAATTATTTACGTATTGTGTGTTTGGCGCACAAACTGTTGGACTTCAAATATGTGTCTCAAACAAAAACCACATAAACTTTCAGGACTGTTCAGGTCTTAATAACGTCAGATTAGTGTTAGTGTTTGTTGTGGGCATAGTACAAGGTGACTTGGCCAAATGTGTGTCTGCCCTGACCCTGAGGCAGCGGCGGTAACAAGTTTGCAGCGGTGGGAAACAGCTACACAGTGAAAGTAGCAGAAACCCTATGTCAACACCGGATGAATGAGGACTTGTATTTCATTTCATGTTACCTTCTTTAAAACATATTTTAGAATTAACATGATCAAACAACATCCAGTCCTCTGTCATGGGAGTGCATTTGTTACTTCAAGCATGTGGATAGTTGATTAATGAATGAATGCAGGAATGACTTACAAAAAATAATAATTTGACACGTGGGCTGTAAATCCTATTTCTGCCCTCCACACTTAATCTCTCAAGATTAATGTCCCCTGTGGATATTGCGTCAGAATTGTTTCTCTTGATAGAAAGTGGGAGAAGGATTAGCAGAACCTCAGTACGCTAATTAAATCAACTTGGACTTGATCCGCTCTCATTTCATTGCTCATCGCCCCTCGTTTTTATCCCTCATTTATTTTCTTCCTCTTCCAGGTGCTCTCTGTGTGGCTATGTGTGCAGTCACCCTCCGTCACTCAAGTCGCACATGTGGAAGCACGCCGGAGACCAGAATTACAACTACGAGCAAGTTAACCAAGCCATTAATGAGGCCATCTCCCAGAGCAGCCGGTAAACCCATGAACTCTTATTCAGTTATACAGTTACTTTGAGTTTCTTTCAGGTTTTCACTTCTGTATTCACACATCTACAAAATCTAGCATCTAGAAAACAAAACAAATCCTCACTTAAAGGTCCAGTGTGTAAGATTGGGATCTATTTGGAAGGGATCTATTGGCAGAACATTAATCTAAAATAATCCTAGTGATGTTTTCACACTTGTGTTTAATCTAAATTAAGAATTGTTGTTTTCTTTACCCTAGAATGAGCCGTTTATATTAAAATACTTTATATTTACATCAGGAGCGGGTCTTTTCTTATAGTAGCCCACACTGGACAAACTAAACACCCTTTGAGTTTTTATAACAACTGAAGGCAGCCACAGGTTCTCTTTCATGTTTGGATGGAGAGGGAGAGGGTGAGGTGAGGAGTATTCAGCTGCAACATACAACTTCACCAGTAGATGTCACTAAATTCTACACACTGATCCTTTAAAGCTGTGATGTTTAGAAAGAGTCAAAGAGCTGCAACTCAGTCCTGTTATCTTGCCGCCTCTCTTGTCTTGATGATACCTTCCTTCACTTCCCTCAGAGCTCCTCAGAAGTTGTCTGCAGTTCCAGAATCAGTGGCCGACCTTGCTGCGGTGGCCCATCCCTTAAAGGACAAATTAAAGTCCCCCGTGGAACAAATTACACCCACACTGACAAAAGCAGCAGTTGATCCAGCCACGGACAGCACGACTGGCCTCCACACACCCACCACAGACCCCTCACAGTGGTCAGCTGAATCCCCAAGTCCCCCGGGGAATGACCCTGCACAGATCCACTCTCAGTCCCAGAGACAGCCTGTAGGCCAGACCCCCGTCCCGGGCCCCAGCATGGAGTACTGTGTGCTCTTGTTCTGTTGCTGCATCTGTGGCTATGAGTCCACCAGTAAAGAGCGACTGATGGAGCACATGAAGGAGCACGAGGGAGACATCATCAGCATCATCCTCAACAAGGAGCAGCAGCAGCAGCAGCAGCAGCAGCAGCAGCAGCAAACTGAAGTACAACCAAGCCTCCAGACAGCAGAGTGAGACCTGTCCTTCTCTACTTTTCTCTAAAGCAACACTGATCCTGCGCTTTTACAATTATCTGCCGCACACCGAACAGTTTCATTATATTTCTTTACCTCGAGGTGGTTGTGTGTTGTAGGTTTAACCCTTTCATGTCTACCGTCGTAGTAAACTGCCATTTCTCCGCATGTAGGCTGGTGACAAAGGCTACATCCATGTTACTGCAGCTTCATATGCACCTGGCGTCCACATTACTCCAGAGTTTTAGAGCAGCTAAAACAGAGAAGTTTGGAAACGTGTAGAACACAATATGGATACTTATTTATGGGTTTTTTCTCCCAAACTAAAACGTAGTAGTGTGGATGTAGCCAAAAGACTGAAGTAACTTGAGTCCAGTACACACTCCTTGAACAGGTCTGGAGAAATATGATGAAATCATTTTCTGTGTGGCATATAAAAAAAACATCGAACAATTCTTATAGACCATTAATATTTGTATCAAATAATTTGACATGAGAGACACAAAATGTGTCTTTAGGGAAGCAACGTTGATTTCAAGGGACAAATCCGAGCTCTAGCCCAAGTTTTTTTCACTATACAGGGACAAGTTCATACCTCACAAAACCACACAATCCCTCAGCAGGAATAAAGAAAAAAACAATTTCCAGTCTAATTCATATATTGACTACAAGGCAGCTCTTTTATTGCTACTGTAATATTTAATGTATTTAATTCGACAAAGCGAGGCTCTAGCCTTTTTATGGAGGTACATGTGCAAACTCACCAATGCCTCAAGGCACACATCACAGCTTGAATATAATATATCAGGTTTTTATGCACGTTAGTTTCCGTTCTGCCAATTTAAAGAGGCACATGTTTCTTATTTGTTATTTGCATTATACATATTTTTGTATGAGTGACTGTAATTTTACTGTTGGATTGTTTGTGAAGTAGCGTCTTTAGAGGAGAATGTAATCGCCCTCAGTGGTGATGTCGAGGATGATCTAGTGTAAAGTAGAAACAGGTGTAGGATGAGCAAAGTCTTCTGGCCACAGATGTTTGGTTTTGATTAAAAGGAATGATTTAAAAGGGAAGTTAGCACAGGTGGGTGTATGGTGCCAAGATATTTGAAAGCAGGAATATGTTGGATTGACTCAGACCCACCTGTTTTCACTTTTGATTGCGGTGCTATGGACACTATAACGTTGAGTCAAGTTTTTTTTTCATAGCCCATGACATTACTGGTGCATATAACATTTGTATTATGTTTCTTTTTTCAGTGTTTTCAAAATACAAACTTTTACACTGAAGCTTTTTAGTGTCAAATGCAACTTAAAATAACTGCTGTCCTGGCCAAAGTGACCAGGAATACGTGGATGTGAAAATGAAGTTCAGAAAGGTTTCCTGGCACAGCTCTCCCATGCGACTAATTACTGTAGCTCTGATATAAAAACTCTCCGCTCAGAACAGTGTAATGATGATAAAACAGAAGCCTCGACCAATGTAGGCTTCATGTTTTCTATGATCATGTTGATGTTTTGTACAGAAACAATGGCTTCTCTATGAAAGAATAAAATGTAACTGTTCACTCAGAAGCATTTGACAGATATTAAGGCCATATGAAAGAAAATATTCGGATATTATGAGAATTGTGTCTTAATTTAATACTAAGTCATAATGTTACGAGAAAAATTAAAATTTAGGAAATAAACAGTAAAAAAACAAACAAATCCCTTGCTTACCAGAGCTCCACGGCCTCTGGATCCAAAATCTTGAACCATCTCATTGTTTGTTGAGAAACTTTGAAATCCTTTTGAGTATCACACAGATTAAACTACAGCCTCACAGTCGACCACTACTAAACATTTCCTCCACCACAAAAAAGGCATTTTACTTCAAGTCTGTTGTTCTGTCCTCAGAAAAGACATTTTCTTTCCACAATCTCTCTTAAGGCCTGATACTTATGATAATGTGGTGCTGATTAGCCAAAATATGAATTATTCTGTTGTTTAAGAAACCTATAGTAAAGTATAACTTAACAAGGTGCTCCACATTCCTCATTTAACACATAACACAGGAGACAGGCATCAGCCTGCTATTCTCCCTAGAGAATGACATGTAGCTTAAAATAATTACTTATCCTTGTAGTATTAAAACTATATTCTCGTAATATTATGACTTTATTCTAGAAATCTTAGATTGTTTCCACCTTGAGTGGCCCAAATGCTTGTCGTGGAAACACGTTATAATCACCAAAAACATGTCTCGCACTTTAACGTTAATTCATGTCAAACTAACTGTGCCATTCATCCAGGAAGTAAAGTTAAAAAAGAGATGCTTTCATGCTGATAACCAAGTAGCCTTATAAAAGAATAATTCTGTTGCCCAAAAGCCCACCAGGATTACGTCAAATGAGCAGAAAGTCACATTTATTTGAAGTTGAAGCTTAGTTTTTAAACCCAACTGTCAGTTCTCCACCCATCTAATGTTTCATCCATTCTGTTGTGCACAACGCACCATGTCACATTAGAGGACCAGTGTGTAGGATTTAGGGGGATTATGTTTTCATTAGTGAATAATCACCTGAAACTAAGATTTGATGTGTTTACTTAAGCTTCGAATGAGCTTTTATATCCACACAGGCATTGGATCCTCTTCCACTGAGGTTTCTACAGTAGCCCAGAATGGACAAACTATAGAAGGGGAGGGGTATTCAGTCTGCAACCTCACCTCTCTGCTGCTAAACCCTTCACACTGGTCCTGTAATTCATCAGTATGCCACCCCCTCCTTACATCCACACAGACAGAGGCTGTGGAAATTAAGATAAAATGGAATATCCATAATTCATGCCCATCCCCCACTCCATCCCACTTTGTCTTACATAACGCAAAAGTGTGTGTGTAGCGTAGAGGGTGAAACTAAATTAAATTTGTATCTCAAAGCCCTTATACCTGGCCTGGACTTCTCATTATCATACCGGATAATTATTGTCTGGCTTTTAATTTGTCTGAATCAAAGAAGACAGGGACATGTCTGTATGAAGAAAAAAAAAACATTTAAGTGAGGCTTCAGTGTCTCTCCTGTCTGATTAACTTGACATTCATTATAATGAGCAGTGAACATTAGAGACAAGTCCGACCGCAGCCACACACACAGAGACACACCCCGCCCGCACCTCTCCTCTCTGTTATAAGGATGCTGCCCAACATCTGACAGCTCCTGATAATTCACATCCAAAATATGGAGAAAAAAAAAAGCAACACAGCTTTTGATTCTGGTTCACCTGGAACTTTATTTTCATACTTTTAGCACTCAATTCTATGAGCAAATAAAACCGTAGCCACCAAGTTCATTTCTGAGTAGTGCTGCCACTTTTTCAGAAAAAAGGTTTAAATAAATAGTGTTTTAGCACGTCATATCTTAGATACATAAATTCAAATAAACTTCAAGCCTTGTGGAATTGCTGTTCGTTAATTCTTGGTGCCTCCACTGTTTCGCTTACATTACTGTAAGGCTGTTCTATTAAACTGAGTCAACAGCCTGAAAGCCTCCACTTCTCAGGTGATCTAGTGTCATAATTATCTTGGGCAGCATGGCTCACTAATCCCCTAGTTCCATCCTTACTGCGTCAGCATAATAAACTCGAATGGCACTCGGTAGAGTGCAAAGGCCCAACAGTCCCGCTAAGAAAATAGTTTTGTTTGGATCTGCACCAAATTTCACAACTCATAGATATCGGTCTTTACAATCGAAGAATTACTGCCTAGCATTTTGGTGTAAATGTCCCAAAAAAGTCCTGTCTCGCAATGTTAAAGAAATCGTTACTTTGTCCACACCAAAATTAAATGGCTTCTTCCTTTGCCCACGTCTCATCCTTCCACTAAGCATCATGGAAATCCATTCTGTAGTTTTTGTATCATCCTGCTCACAAACAAACAAACAAACAAACGGACGGACAGGGTTTGGAAGTTTGGAAGTGAAACCAAAGGTGGACAGTGACCAAGTTAGCCCTAAGTGTCTGTTGTGACCATCCATCACAGTTTCCAGCCAAACGTCCTGGTCCAGCCGACGTTTTGTACATAGCTGCAAGAGTTGTGAGCACAGTTTCCTTTGCTGTAAGAGATTATCAACAGTATTTTGGGCTCACTCCTTTCTGGTTTTACTTATGGTACAAATAAAGTGATTTAGATAATCTCTCTTTTGTTAAACTGTTAAGTTTATTTATAACTTATCTAATTGTGTTTATTTCTAATGTTGAACTGGGTTGAATTAAAGTAATTCAGTCCATGCTGTTATGCTTTTATATTTCTGAGGATTAACAAACCGGTAGTAAACTGTGCATTCATTTACTGGGGACTATATTTGGTGTACTGATGAGTATTACCTTTTGCAGGATGCTGTATGTGAGATGTTTGTCATAATGCAGAGGAATGTCACCAAAAGCACAACAGCATGATTCATTGATGTTTTTCTTTTTGACTTTATTTGACAGTAAAGAAAGAGACAGGGAAAATGGGGAGAGAGGAGTATGACGTGTAACAAGAGTCCCCTGGCTACTGAGACGTCCTCACTGATGGGCTCCTAAATTGTGATTTGTGAATATGGGCTTTGATTGATAATAATGGAACTGCATGGCACAGACGAAAAATATACATGGGGCTTTGGATGTAGAAATATTACTTGTCAGTAGGAACAATTCTTTTTTGGGTCTTGACAAAGCCTAATAATAACATGAGACTTGTCCTTAGAATTGGATATTCAATAGAAGCTAACACTCCCTGTACTAAAGTCACAGAAATAATTGTATATAACTATCATTATGTGTGTGTCTATAGATATATATATACACACAAATATAATGATAGATTCCTTAGGATGCATCTAAGTTGCATGCACCATGGCCTTACATGAGTTGTAATAAAATGATAGCTCACTAAAATACTTCTGTTAGCTTAATCGCTAACAAAGGAAGACAAAAACAACTTAACATTAAACTTAACTAATAACTTAATAATTGAAACTGTTGAAACTGTTCCCATGGAAAATGTTAGAGGGGTCACATGGGCAGTGACATGTCTTGTTTAGTGTCACAAATTCTAAAAGACTCCACGTTCACTGTTTCATCTTCAGAACCATTCATCTGGGCCATATGAGGTTACAGCAACGACCTCTGACTGTCATAGGAACAATTGTGTTTTGTTGTGGTTTATTGTGCCTTTTAGTTCAAAGTATTATTTAGGTTGGAGCTGCAAATTGACCATAGATCAATATTGTATTTTAGTAGTCAGTCAGTGGGAGAAACTTAATCACCTCAGTAGGTTTCCCATCGATGCAAATGCACATTTTTTATTTAACAGTTTGGGTGAACAGAGTGTGAAGCAGCCGTGTCATATATGTATTACTACAAGGTTTTTTTTAAGCTAAAAATGGGCTGAGACACTTGATATGTATTTTAGGTGTGTACATATTGTAGATGAACACTGCAGAAACTGAAAACTGACATTTTTTAAAAGATAAAATCTATTTTTTCATAATCTTGTAGAAAAAAAAAACAACTTACAACAACAATCAACTTTCAGATTGAATTTCTGCTTTGTTCTTATTTACTCCCAGTCTGTTTTAATTCAACTGATGGTTTTAAGCTGAAAGCGGCAAAATTAGCCACGTGACTTTAAACCAAAGCTGGTGGAAACGTAACATGTTTGTCCTGATCAGTGTATTTTTACTCTTATTAAACTTTGTAATGGGGGGTTGAGCATGGTATTGTGTCCAACAGCGGTGTGAGGTTTGCTTCATGCTGTTTATTTATTCTTTAGAACATCGTAGGCAGTGTCATGTCACTACTTTGCTATTGTATTTTTGGTAATAAAGATTGAGAAATGAACTACTTTGTCTCTGGTCATGTTTGTCTGGTCATTTCACTACACACAGAAAAGTCAACCTTTCTATTACCATGGGACTACAACATTCTTAGAAAACACAAATAAACTGAAATATTTGCCCAATAGTAAAAGCAAGAGCAAAAGTAAAAGCCTTATGATAAAAATTTAGTTGAGCTTTTAATTGTCCAGTTTGTCATTCCATATATGAATGCAATACACGGTGCAATTAACTCCTATGATTTAAACTTTGTTGATATTTGGACACAGAGAAATATGAACCCACCTCTCATAGCTGAAGTGGTTTCACCAGTCTGTCTGCTGAAAGGTGATGAAATGTAAATCTGAGGTGAGAGTGTCAGTAGAAGAGAAGTGTTGACAGAAGTAGAGTCAACTAAAGTGCAAGAACTGAAAGAAAGTGTCAGTTCAAGGGTTTATTTAAGTGTAAGCACTGGCTGCAGATCAACTATAAATTAAAGAATGACAGAATCAGGGAACGGGTCACTTGATGCATGAGCGCTCAATGCAGCTGCAGCTGAGGAGTGAGAGATAAAAGCAGCTGAAATGTCAGTGTCACAACTTGCTGATAACAGCACAGGCTCAGAGGAACCGAACGCAGCCTCAGAGACTGGATGATGCTCTGAACTAGCTTAAATGATAGAAATCTAACTCACGGGCCGCTGAGTTGACAGGTTCACAGGGAAATACACAAGCAGCTAGCAGATACACTGGGAAACTACTGTAACATATTTCTCACATAAGCTTTACACATGATCTGACCAACACCTTTCATTCCACCACACACTGACTGAGTCCAATGTCCAGACTTAACTCAAAGACTTGCGGTGGACACATTCTCTGGGAGGTCTGCAATTGCTAGAAGCTCCCAGATCAACAATTCATCCAGTGCATGAGGCATCAAGCAGACTTCAGCAGACTGATTTAATTACCCACAATTCGTTGCAATTTGATGTAGTTTTTCCAGTTGCCATTTAAAGAAGTGAGTTAACTAGAATGGCACTTAGTAGAGTAAAGATCTCCACCAAGGCACAAAATGTCGCCATTTGACGGATCTGGATCCGCATATACATTTGTTATGTTCCCCTGGATATACTTCAAAAACTATCAAAGATCCGTCAAAACCATTGGTACCTGACTGAATCCTCATTATCTCAGCTACACATTGGTTTTAGTTGTCGATTTATAGCCCTATTCAATAAAATAACATGGACCATGAGCTGTACACAGTCATAGATTCCTACCTCCTGGCTCACCTTTTTTAATCAAAATCCATGCTTCATTCCTTAAAAAAATAAAGCCCAGCAGTGTGAACAAAAGTGATGAAAACAAATTCCTCAATCTGCCCCTTTATCTGAATCCACACCAATTTGCAATCTTCTTGACAAACAAGTAAACAAAACAAAAATCCAATGGACAGGGGTGGACATATAACCCCTTCTGCAAAGATAATTTTGAATATACTAAACAAGTGTAGGCCAAAAAATAATAATCAACCACATGCTGTGGAAGCCTGGACTCAAGCAGTCGATCAATACATTTGTTAGCTTGACATACGAAATGACAATCATTTTCTCTTCTCTAGCATCAATTGTTGGAACACATCTCTCCAACAAATTGTATATTGACACAAAACAGTTCTGTCACATTTTAAAATGAATACTTTGAGATCAGTCTGAATCGTTCCTACTGCTACACAGAGATGAAGTCAAAATACCACAGTTGTGAGCGCTGCCGCTTTGCACATTTGGAGTCGGAGTCTGTGCAGTAGCGTCAAATAATTAAAACCACACTTATCAGAAAAAGCTATCCTTTTTGACATGCAATTTGACTATTTAGTTTGTCCCATGTCCCATACATGTACATGGAGGATGTGGGATTTATGATCTATTCTGCAAGCAGCCACCAGGAGGTGATTGAGCCGTCATTTAAATTTGAATTAAGCAGCCTAAAGATATCATATATTGATGACGTGCTGAGCAGAGAATGAAGCCTCTGTCTGTGTGCTGTGATCGGAGCTTTCTGTTCTTTGATTTGTTCTCTGGCTCAGTCGAACAACGTTCATTTTGGTGCATGTGTGCATCATTAGACATGTTAGAGTCCCTTCATGTGAAACCATTGGTCGTCGCCATGTTTAGAAAGCGAGATGGTTCCAGCTCCGTTCTGCAGTGGTGTACACGGGATGCCTCTGTGGACACACTGATATTGTTTTGCCGCTCTGTTACATCACAAACATTGTAAACATGCCCACCATGATGCTGTTAAACCACAAATACTGACGCTGCACTTTATTTTTATGGAGTCTTTTGGCCTTTACAACACACAACAGCAATGATGACGATGCTACCAATGCTAAATAACTGCTATCCACAATGCCGACTTGGTAAGAGCGTGCCTGGCTTGGGGCTGTGAGGCCATGGCATAAGGGACCATTTGCATGTCTGTGCCCAGTGGCCCATTGTTTAATAATCCGTGCATGCCCTCATTTCTCCATGCAAGCCCAATTGGTTTTTTTGCCTGCTACATCTCACACTTGGAGAAGACTAACTTGTATAAGAGGAGAACATATAGATAGATACAATGTTTGTAATAACCTTTACAAGCTGTGGAAGGGCTGGCTTCAATGATAAGAACTCAAGAGCTGCATTACATGGAATGATGTCATAAAACTGTATAGTATATGAGTGTAAAACTTTTTTTGGGGGGGGGTTATTTCTTTACACAACATTACTACAGGAATGAAAACACAATTCAAAAGAGGCTTTGCCATTTTACTTGTACATTTTAAGTTATCCAGCAGACACCAAGTTACACTGATACTGTTCGGCTGTTGGCAAGGTTAACATTTAATTAAATCTTTGGGACACGCAGGGAAAATAATTAAAATGTGTTTAAAGCTGAGCCTTTGGAAGCCTTCTTGAAAACTGGAAGAAGTTCATTGAAGTCTACATCTACGACTGCATTCAAGCAAAAAACAAGTCGTTATAGTCGTGCAGATTTTTCTTCTTATAATTTCTTATGGAACACAATAACTCAAGGTTTGTCAAGTTCTGATGGAACAAGCCAGATGTACGCATTCACTTGCACATCTTGAAAGACGAAGGAAAAAAGGGTCTAGTTCTGTAATCTCTTTCACTTACACATCAAACCCTGGCTGCACAAGCAGAAAAAACCCCATCCCCGTCTCTTCATTCCTTTAAAGGATCAAGTTTGCTACCTAAACCTTTTATGGGGCCACCATGAAAAGTGAAGATCAAGGCCAATATATATATATATATATATATATATATATATATATATAAATGAAATAAGGCTAGAGGGAGAGAGGGGGTGAGTTGGAGATAGACTAGAATCAATTCAATGGACTCTTAAGGCCGTTCTGCTTTTCAATTTATTTAATGTTTAATTCCCAGATTTCCTTGCACTATCGACCTTGTCTTATGTTACATTGAATGAAAAGGCAAGAGGATTTTGGATCCCATGCTAGCAAAACAGAGTTATATTGGGCACACTGGGAGAGAGGAGGGTTATCTTTAATGGACCATCTTCCTGCGGTCTCACTCCCTTGCTTCAGATGACAAGACTTAGAGGAATAAAAGGAGGGAAGAGGACAATTTTAGACTGCGTGCATGTGTGCCCGCAATGAAATGGTTCAAAAGCAAAAGGGCCAGAATCAGAGTATGGCCATTTAACAACCTGTTTTCTCCTCTAATAATCCCTCTTTCCCACAGGAGCCAAGCCAATTTGTTTTCATAAATCTCTTTGATAATCTTTAGGTCTTTCATGTCAGCCCCTGAATCCAGTCTCTGTCCTTTCCATCTGAATGCCCTGAGTGTTCTTCCACTGGACCTGTTTGCGGTCTCAAGTACACTCGTCAAGACAGTACAGTTTGTCAATGTTTGTGTGATTTATTGAATTCCTTTTAAAGTGGTTTGGGTTGTGTTCTTTTGGGCGAATAGATGTTGAAGAGGGAAAATGGAACATTTACGGGATAATTCAGAGCACAGTGTGAACAGTTTACACGAGGACTCTGAATTAACCAGGACACTGCTTTTCAAATTGAAGTTTGTGTTGATATGGGTGATTACATTCACCTCCATTGTGCAGGGGTGAAGGCAGAAACCACATTGATGCTTATCTCTATCAGGACACACATAAAAGAAAACTAGGTCTGTGAGTTTTTGTGACTGCAAATCAGATAAGGTCTCACTGGGATTGGGTTTCAAATGAGGCGTTAACGTGAATTAGTTTCCAAATAGTGTTAGTCCAGTCTGCTTATGTATTCAACTTGTCTGGGATCCTTGGAAACGTGAGAAGATGTGGTAATGGACCTGCGGCTTTAACTTTTTAAATGACACGATTACTCTTCAGCATCAGTGTACTGAAGTGAGTTCTCCTGCAGGTTCTGTTCTGATGCCACCATTTGTTCTGTCCTCCCTATACCCTCTCCCCATTTCAGGAGTTGAATACACCTTACGGTGATACTTGGACACGTCATCAGTGAAGAACCCAGGGTCATAGGGTGTTTCGGGTCTTTAATCTTCATACACCCTCTCCTGGGCGACCCAGCCGGGGTCGATCAGTCCCCGGCTTGTGTCCAAGTGGCGCGTTGTTCCACGGATCCCCCCTGCGGATCCACAGCCACCTTGAGGCTCTCTCCGCGGCCTCTAGCATGTTCTTGATGGCTCTCTTAGTGTGCAGTCCGTTCGCTCCAAGGAGTTTGAGGGTTCGCGCAAGTGACTGGCCAGCAAAGCCACGGCACCCAACCTCGACTGGCTCACAGCGGGCTTTCCAGCCGTTACTCCGGCGCTCAGCGATGAGCTCGGCGTACGTGGCCCTCTTTCGCATTCAAACTTAAACTGTCCTGTCAGTAAAGGCAAAATGCCCGAAAATATCAGTAATATCTCATTGCTGTACAGGGCCTGTACTGTGGTAGCTTCCCTGAATGATTTGTTGGGGCAACGAATGGAACCAAATCATTACCTGAAATAATCAGATGATTTCTCACTTCACTTGAACTCAAATCACTCAGTAAAGTTCACTGACTGAATGAGTGATCAAGTCAATCATGTGTTTGCAGGGAGTGTGTGTGTCCCCAATAATAATTCAACGACGTGATTCCCTCACCAAGTAAGTATCACAAACTTATTTGGTATTTTTTCATTGTCTTGTGCTATATCAGTAATCTGTTCTGTGACAGCTCTTCAACACCAATGACAGAAGACACTTTCTTTCCCTGATTTTCTCTTGGAAATCATCATCTATGACAATCACCATATTGTTTGACAGTGATGAAATGTAAGAGCTACATGTTGTTCTCTCAAATTGGGAACAGGATAGGCATGAAGGAGACCATCCTAAAAGACATGGTCATCTATTACTTCATGTTATGTTATTCCTCATTTACTGCAGGATGAATTAAATGATATCCAGAGGAAGGACTGAAATAATCACATGTATGCAAAAGCCATCTTTAGAAACTTGAGGAACAGGAACAATTATAATAACAAATTATAGTGAAATCCCTTTTTAGTTACATGATTTGTTTATAAAACACTAGTTTGCATCTTGGTAGATCTTCATTGGGGTTCAATGTTGGATAAAAGACACAAAACAAAAAACAACTACTTTTGGCCTGCTACTGAATAAAAGTACATGCATCGTTTACTCGAATGCATTTGTCTTATTGCTGAAAACGTATGTACATAATGTAAACATGTGGGGATTTCTTTGGGATGAATGTGTTAACATGAGAAATGTAAATAGTAAATTGAATATTTTTTAAATATACTGATTTTAATTTTGAAGCTTTCTTTTCTTGGGACCCAAGCTTTTGTTTGGTATATATTGTTTGTTGCTCCTGTTGAGTATGAAAACTAAAGATTGCCTTTGAATAGGAAATAGTTTTTGGAAAAGAATCATGTCCTCTTATGGGGACAATAGGATTATTTTGCTGTATAACACAATAAAATCACCAGTGTATATAATGTATAAAGAATAAATTTGACTGCAAATATTGCAACATGTCATTAACATCCTTGGACATTTTGGTCTGTAGTAACAGTTTGTTAGACCTCGGGTTTAATTTGAAAGCATTGTAATACGTTACATGTCACACATACAAGTATAAAACTGTTGATTGTTCATAGTTACTGTTTACGTATAAAACTGCAAAACTGTTGATTTAAATTCCTGAACATAAAGACAATTGCGAACAACATCTGGCTAAAGTTATGTAATCATAATTTTCCTTGCTCCATTATCCTAATTAGGAAAGTCCTTTTTGTCTGTATAGTTTGTCACACCTATTGTCCTCTGTGAAATGCTTCTTAATAATTTGGTTCACTTTGCAAGCAAACGTCATGCAACGCACAAAAGATTTCCCAGAGCAGCCTTTGTTCCTCTGCAACACATCGGATTTTTCAGGTTGAACATCTCTGGAAGATGTACAGCAGAAGTTGTGCAGACTGAGACAGGGGGTACTAGAGTGAACTGAAGTTTTTTGCCTTGTTGTGAAAAGTGAAGCCTCTCTTCGTGTACATCAGTGTTGCACTTTGTCAAGTATGCCTGAGCCACTACCATGCAAAACAGTCTCCTGTTTGCTGCTGTGCAGGTATAGCACAAAGTGGCTAAGTGCATATTACAGTAAATAGCTGCTATAAATGTGATTGATGAGCTGTGCCAGAATCAAACACAGTGAAAAATGTGCAGGCTGTAAACAATATGTGGTAAATTAGGTTAAATAGAGCTGTAGACAGACAAACCACTAGTGTAATAAGTCCCATTAATTAATAGCTGCATTTCTTTTTATGTAAGCAAACTCCACGTTCCTGGTATTGTTTATGCTGGCTCATTATTTCTTACTGATAAGTCACTGCAGGGAATAAAAGTCTATTCTCTGTGTTCATTGCTCATATGACTTCTCCAAAATTACATGTACTCTTTTGATTCAGAGTCAACATGAAACATGTTTTTATTTTGCCTTTATTTGACAGCCCTGTTTCCATATGTTCCATTATGTTAGAGGGCACATTTTCATTCTTGGGTTACTGGGATACTTGACTTCAGGCCTCTTGTCTCTTCTAATGAGATCCATCTGTCTGCCACATTACCAGATAGAGTCCAGCACATCCTATACAGACATGGACATTAACCTCTTGGAGTACACAATCTGAGCTCTGGGACAATTTGACCTTGGTAGAACCAATTCTGCATGCCAAAGTGTCCTTGGGCAAGATACTGATTGCCCCTGATGACTATGCCAGCACATCAATGCAATGTATGAATTGATCAGTGAATAGCAAAACTTCACCATTTATAATTGCATTGCTTGAATGCTTCTGATTTTATCTGTGGCAACAACTCTTAAGTGTTTCCATACGAATTGAGCTACAATGGAATATGAGGCCCTTAGGGTTAGGTGGTCATTATTTCTGTGGCATACCTTAACAAACACAACATAATGAGCTGTTCATTTTTGTCCCTCTGAAACATTGTATATTCAGATGGACGACTTGTCTCAACCTTTTCCCACTGTCCAGAAATGAAGCAAGAATGTCCCCAAAAAATGAAATAACAAGGTAAAACCAAACTTGCTGGAAAAACACTTGAAATGTGATGAAAACTACCTTAAATGATACAAACCATCTTTTGAGTAGCTGTCATGTCGTCCATCTTAATACACAGTCTATGTGGACATGACATGGACATGATTTACAAAAGAGGCCAGAGCTGTCTCTATTTTCTGAGAAGGCTCAGGTCCTTCAACATAGACAGAACGATGCTGTGGATTTTCTATGAGTCTGTTGTGTCCAGCTTGAAAAAGAAGGACATTAATAGACTCAACAAGCTAATCAGGAAAGCAAGCCATGTCGTTGGGGGGGGGGGCTTTGTCCAAAGTAAGGACTATCTTGGACTTTCCGTCACACCCGCTCCATAATGTCTTGATTAGCCTCTGCAGCTCGTTCAGTGGCAGACTCATCCACCCACGCTGGAAATCATTCCTGCCTGTGATTGTCAAATTGTATAATGACAACCTGTAAATAAGCTTAAACATGTATACTGTGTATACTTTAACTTACATTCATGTACAAATGTAAATCTATACATACCCGGTTTTTATTTCTACTTATGTATATCTTTTATTTCATTTTAGTCTTACCTGACTTTCATCTTACTATGTTTATTCCTGCTTTTTCTCAGGAGCTCTGTGACGTTTGAATTTCCCTACGGGGATTAATAAAGTACTTCTGATTCTGATGTATATTTTAAGTTTATAGTTATATAGAGTAGGTGTATTACTAGGGTAATAGAACAATTTCAATAATATTGCAATATCATTTTCCTCAATAGCAATATAACAAAAGTTCAATATATAAATATATAAATAGATATAGCATTGTCTATGCACAGTGAGGAGGTATAGCACAATGTTTTTTACGTAAAGCAGTTGTTTGTAGTTCTCTGCCCATGAAGACTTTAAAACCACGACCTTCATTTAGGAGCAATAGTCATAAACTAAATAATAAAACGATATTTTCAGTGATGGTTATGGATTTTCACTGATATTATTTTTTATCTTGACACAACCAGTTGTAAGATTTGAAGCGTTTCCTTCCCTTTCACAGTAAAATTATTTTTTTCACCACTAATCAAAAATGGTTGAAGAGAAGGAATTGCATTCGTTATATTAATTTCGAGCTTGTGCACGGATATGTAAACGATGTTAGCCTGCGGACAGATATTCTCTGTCTCCTCCAGCACGGGATGACTCACTAACCCAAACCCCTGCTTTTCACTTGAAGCCCCATCTCCGCGCTTTTATTTTGAAGGCGGCCACTCCCGGGTTCCGGTGTGGTCCCGGGCTGAGCCGTGGCTGCGGGTAAGAGGCGCTGACCGATGCTTTGTGCCGGGAGGGGCTGGAAGAGACGCGAGAAAATGAAGCGACGAGGGGGCTAGAGAGACGTAGAGGAGGAGGGAGGTAGAGAGGCGCTGCCGGTCGGACCGTCCTACCGGAGGAGGAGGAGGTGGAGGAGGAGGCTGGAGCATGCACCGCCGGGCTCTGCGCTCTTTGTCGCCGCGAAGACAGACTGAAAACCCGGCGTCCATGACGGGAGCGCGCCTTGCTGTAAAATACACATTGATAAGACTGATGATGAATGAGGCTGCAGCGTAGCAGCTCCAACCTGTCGCACTTTGACCATCAGCTCTGCGTCACCGCCCGCATCACCACTGACGCTCATGTCCCTTCTCACGTCTCATCGTGGACTTCGGCGTAGACCGTGATCTTGAGTGCGGCGGGATGCACGCAGTTTGCGGGTGATGGTGGTGGAGCCTGTGCGGTTCAGGCCCGGCTGAGTGTTTGAATGAAAGGCTGCAGACTGAGGGGGGACCGACTGTGGCTCTGATCGCTCCTTGCTGTGGTCCACACCGCAGCTGTGTGTGTGTGTGGAGGGCAAATCCAGATTTATAGGTGTGTGTGTGTGTGTGTGGACTCCATCACTTCTGTGTGGGTCCAGTCAGTCCCCAGCACCGCCCCTGTCTGCCCCGCGCACAGTGTTCCAACATGACAGGGCTGCGGCAGCGGAAGGGCAGCAGGGGGAAGGAGCAGCCCCCCGGTGCAGAGTGTCAGCCCCAGCAGTCCAACTGTTGCACCGACCACCACCCAGAGAAGGTGCTGCACGGTGAGTGTGTCATCCTCCTCCACCAGAGCTCGGTTTCATACACAGCAGCAGCACAGTGGCTGCAGGGTCCCCCTCATCAGAAGGAGGGGTGAGCATGCTTGGCAGCCGCACACCCTCTGCTGAAGTGCCTTTGAGCCGGATCCTGCTCCAGGGCCAGTGTTCAGTCTGTGAGCCTGACCTCTGATCCTCTGTGGCTGCAGAGTGGGATGGACAGTTCTCAAAAGGCTTTAAATGTCACATTCTTCATTATTCACGGCTGATTAGCTAGTACACCTGCAGTGCCCATCCAAGTGGTAAATGTTCTGCTCTTTTCTAGTCCTGATGACACTCGAAGCTCCTAACAGTGAAGTTTTACCCATTCACACACACACACACACACACACACAGACCCATATGGTGCACCTCTGTGCAGCCCTTTCTCTACCACACACTTTCATATCTCGTCTCATTATCTCGCCCAAGGGCAGTTCAGCTCAGGACAAAGGCTCCTGGGACTGAACCACTGACATTCATTTTGGTGGACGACCCGCTCTATCTCCAAGCTACATGCAGTCTCGTCCTGCTTGAGTAGAAATCATGTAGGATGTGTAGAATAAGGAACTGAAAATCTGTCAAAGCCTTTTTCTTCCAGTATTCCACGTATGTAAATATATGACATAAATAGAATTACTATTATTACATATAATAATCTGTATTTTACTAGTATCCAGTGAACAGTCACATGGGTAACAAATAATTTAAGGGACTAGTTCATAATGTCACATTTAAATTAGGCCTATGTATTTAAATGGCCCTGGTGCAAGTTGACTCAGTCATGTGACTTACTTAATGAAGTGCAGTCGTCATAGTCATCAAGGACATTTACTCTGTTCCATTCAAGTGTTTTTAAAAGTTATGAAAACTTAATGCTTGCAGGTGATTGGTCGTGGGGGTCAATAGTATGGACATCTGTTGGCTGGTCTGTGTCCGTTGGTCTTGGCCTGCTATGCTGTATCTACGTGGCCACACTACATGAGAACGACCTTTGGTTCTCCAACATTAAGGTAAGGGCCCCTCTCTTCGCCTATAATAACAGGACAAATGTCTGCTGTGAGAAAAGCTCAGTGCAGTTACAGCAGTGGCACTGCAGTCAGAAGTCATCTATCAAAGATCGACCGATGGAGGTGTTTGCTAAAGGTTTTTTGACACATGCAAGGGTCAAATCACCACCACAATTTCAAAGTGTATGTATTTGATCACTTATGTGCACTGGTGCAATGTGTCCGAGTCACATGGGGACAAGAAAATCAGCATCCATTTTTTTTAACAATTATGGCTCAAGTATGGTATGTAGAATTGTTTTTAAATTGTATTTGATTTCTGGAAATCCTTGCTCTGTGTCTCGTCATCCCCCTGGGGTCCTGACCCCTAGTGTGAGAACCACTGGATCAGACAGTGTGGTTGTTATTCCTGTGTATCAACCATCAAAGTACAAGCAACAATGACAAACTGCTGAAGACTGAGTGTTAAACATTGTGCAAGAAGACACTAGCGGTTATTACTGGCATGCAGACAGTCTCTTACACGTATATGCAATGTTTATGCAGCGTTTATCACGAGTACAGATAAGGTTTATCTGTAGCAGTGCAAATATACATTGGAATTGATTGAATTAGTGTTGATATCTATCAGAGTTACTATGAAATATATTTATGGTGAATCATTCAAGCTCTCTGACCTCTGCTTGTGTGATATAATACAAATGTAGACAGAAAGGCTGTATATATATGCCTCTGACAGTTTTCGTCTTCTGGAAGAAGATCTGGGAACACATGTTCTTTTTATGTTTTTTATGAGTCTCTTGTTATAAATCAGATTGATGTCTCTGACACTTTTATGTAGGGGTCATCTTAGGTTTTGACATCCATGTGTAAGACTCATCAACCACATCACATGTGGATATTTACTGATGGAAAATATTTTCGGGTTTACATTTTTCTGAAAGCTAAAAGATTCATCTCACTTTTTTCTGTTTATCCAAAAAGGAAATGTAGCGTCAGTAGAAATGCCAACCCTCTCATCCATGTGTCTCCTAAAAGTAAACCGCAAACACGCCATAAACTCCTGAAGTGAGATGAATATTTTTCCATGAACTACAGATGATTGATTTTCAGGCCTGTTCAATGAACCACATAGAGTCCTGAAACAACCAGTCCTTCTTAGAGCCTGTTCAGTGCTGAACAGCAGCAGAACATTGTGCCCTGCCAGATATGATGTCATTTTTAAATACTTAAAAAAAAAAGAAGGTTTTTCAAACTTTTAATTGGGTTTTAATTTAGGGAACACACACAGAAAAGAGGAACATACCCCCAAAAAAGGAGGAGGAGGAGGAGGAGGAGGAGGAATAAAATGAAGTAAAAAAACACCAACGTAAACATCCTGGAGAGGATCTGTCTTTTAGATGAATTCCATTGTCTGTATACATATAGTATATATACTTACTTTCACATGCACTCATACCTAACATTTAGCATATATACTCAGGTTAACTTTACATGCTTTACATGTGCATATCCATAGGCACTTGTTTACATCAGCCTGTGGTGGGAGAGAAAGGTATTTTAAAATGGGGAAAAAAACATCCTTAACATGTACATATTACTGTTAAACAAAAGCAGGTCTTTTACTTGACACGTAGATAAATTCTCTCCATTGTATGTATATTGTAAAGTATATCAATCCACTCATTCATGATTGGTCTGTCTTAAGTCAATGTGCCTGCAACTAGCAGCACCCTTAACATGCATTTATCTTTCTTTGCACAATGAAGTTCTTCTAGATGCCCAAGGTACATGATTTAAAATTAAAAATTTAAATGTGTATTGTTTTTGTATCTGAACCAGGTAGTGAGATTTGGATCAAGTCCAAAGGATGGATACTGTGCACACCCCTAACCATAGCAGAAGTCTTGTTGGTGTGATAAATGATACGTCCATGTTCAAGTAATTCCTTGGCAGACATTTCACCTGAGTGCATAACATTTTTCAATTGGAACACACAGATTTAGATCTGATCTTAATCACAGAACAGACTGCCCTCTTTGTGCTCAGCAGGGGGAGAGGATAGCGTGAGGAATCAAACAAACAACTGAATAGGCAGGCGCCCAAAAATGTTCGACTCAGAATTCGTCAGCATCTGTCAGCAGTAAAATGCTGTGCCAGGAGCTTCATCTGTGTCACATGCAAATGTGAAATGCTCCTTGAGCCACATGGAGACAATCTGATCCTGCAGTGGATAATTTGTGAGTTTTTGTCACTGGGAGACAAAACAGTACATGCAGTTAATTAAGCAGAGTCTGCATAGACACAGTTTGTGGTCCTACGCTGTCTTGTTCCTGTTTATGTGTGTTGTGTGTGAAGGGAAGAGGTAGACAGGTGCTTTCATTTATAATGAATGCAGGTCACTTTACAGGCCTGCTGAACATTTCCCCGAAATGTTCCCACATAAGATGGCTCCTGGCTGACATCATCACACATTGCAGACACGTGTTTGTCTGTGTGTGTGTGTGTGCGTGTGTGTTTCCTTCTGTTAATGCTATCAAAGGCTGTGTGTCAGACCACGTCCACACACTGCTGGCTGAATCTGAAAATGCTCATTTGAGTAATGGCAATGTGCGGCCACAGAAAGACATTCAGACTGTTTTTAGTAAAGGTTGCCAGGGACACTATAAAGCCCACACAGTAGGAAAACAGATACATCTTTTAAATAATCTCCTATTTTTTATCAGCAAACAATAAAAAATGTGCATCATAACCAATAAACTTGCCTAAAGTATACTTATCAGCATATACTCACATCAGAAATGCATGTTGAACAGATAAAAAGCTCAGGAGACTCCTCAACCTACAGGTGTCCGGCGTTGGTTGGTTAAAGGGTCTGCAAATACATTGACTTTGTGAAACTGACAATCACACCCACCTCAGCTCAGTGTGTGAAGGTGGGACTGTAAGCTGGTGAACTTCTCTCTGCAGCCGACCACTCATGATCGGACCTGACTTCCCTGCTCTATATGCAAATAAGCATGCTATACATCACTACTATTTTAAAAGATTACACATATTGTCGTTTAAGATGAATCAATGTGTGGTAAACACTGAAAAATATAATATAGAGTCTAAAGATAAGATCCACTAAAGTACAGTTGAGTGTTCAAAACGAACCCCAGACTGAGATCATGCAAAAGTGTGAGATTTTTGTCGTATCATGCAGCACTGTCACTACTCTAAGTCATCTCACCAAATACTGGTAAATACAGGTTAATGACAGCACTGAGCAGGTTTGTTTTTTTAAATGTTTTTTCTTCTGCCACACTATACCAATGTTTTCACACTTATCCACCTTGGAGAATTTAAAAAGCTCAGTTTTGGCAAAAACGTAAACCTCAATGTTTAAGAACTTAGTGAGGACAGGGAACCAAAACAGAAGGGGAAAGATTCATTTCCATGGACGTAGCTAACTCTAGAATCAAATTCCACTTTCGTCACATGCTACATGGTGTGGTGAACAGCTGACACACTATTCAGTTGCTTGTGGTTATGCCTGCTGTTTGAACTGTTTGCGGTTTCTCTCTCCCTCATTGTTCCCCCTCGTTCGCTAATGTATTTCATTCCCTGCCTTCACAGACCAACTGTCTCTCTCTCACTCCGGAGCTTTGAGTGGATGGTATAATGACGTTCCTCTTGGCCCTCTGCTATTTTTGCTTATTGTCACAAGTACCCTTACAATGTGGTCAGACAGCTGGCTTCATCTGGCCTCTTGAATTCATCAGGTGTGAAGTCATATCCATGTTAGCCCCAGTGCCCAGGGGAGTTTATTTCAGACATGTGCTCACAGCTTGAAGCTGGTTCCAGATCCACAAAACCCTGACAAACGTTCCCCATATTTTCCAAATGATACTCCAACATGTTCCTCTCATTGCTCTCCAACCCCCACCCATCATACTCTTTTCCTGTGTGCACGTGTGTTTTTATAGACAAGAGGTCACCAGTAGTCAACTCCCTTCTAATTTGCTCCCTCTGGCTGCTCCAGTTATTTACAGCCCATCCAGTTGTTTGCACTCTCGCGGTAGCTCAGGCTTAAACTTTGCTTTTGTCTCCATAAGTAGTAGCTGATTTTTTGAGAAATATTGCTTTTTGTATTGAATTCTCTGTTGGAGTTCGGGGGTTAGTGGAGGTCATCCATGTTTCGGCTCTGGAGGACAAGAAATAGAGAAAAGAAGAAATAAGGCCAATGCTGGACCGACCCCTTGGATTCTTCAAGCACCACATCAGGGAGATGGGAGTTATTCAAAGACCCATAAAGAGGAAATGGTAACAGAGAGAGACCAAGACAAGCGGATGGCTGCCTTTGGAGAAATGAACTAGCTGTCAAGGTAATGAGCAATGTGTGAACCTGTTAACTAGGCGCTCTGACCTTAATTTAAACTGGGGATTAGCCATCTCATCAGAGTTCTTGGTGAGAAGCCAAAGCTTGTTTTGCCTTTGGCAAACTCAAAAGAAGGATTGGAAAGGAAACTAGCTGCTCCTTCCCTCAGAGAAAGCTTTTTGCATATTTCCTTTGGCAAGGAACTTTGAAGTGATTAAAAGGCTAATTTATTTGGACTGACTTCAAGAAAAGAAAAACACTGCATTTACATGTATTACCGTAATGGATTTGGATCAGTTCTATTGCTTAACCCAGGAGCATCCTCTTGATCTACCTGAATTCAGCTCATCAAAGGATCCAAGAACTTATTGATAGTCTCCGTCCTCACAGGCAATGGAGCTTCGTAAGAGACTTAAGCAGAACAAGCAAAAACATAAGTTTGGCCTTTCACAAGATGCACCGGCGGAGGCGAGATGCAGCGGTAACATGGTGTTGGGGACGGCAAGATCTCATGGTCCCCACGAGCGGGATAGAAGGAATGTTTCTCTGTTTGGAGGATCGGGGACTTGTTCCGGTTCAGGCATTTCAACCCGGTGGCCTTGGCGACTGTGTGTTTCCATGGCAACAGGGCTGCTACTGGCTGTCCTGCTGGCGGTGACTCAGGCCTGGTGCGTTAACGCCTTACATGAGAATCTGCTGTGGTTCTCTCAGCTCATGGTAGGAGTTGTATTATTTGTACACACACATGTATATTAGTATGTCCCCTCTCTGCATTAATGACAGCGTGCACTTGATTCATTTAAAGGAAATATTTATGCTCATATTCATGTTCAGTATTTTAATCTGGATTATTTCTGCTCTCTTTAGCCTGAAACATTTGGTTTTAGCTCCTGTCTCTTTATCGCCCATTCTTTTCTGATTGGTAGCTGGCCAACTGTTTCCAGCACGTATAGGAAGTGTTGCCTCCTTCACATGGCTTTGTTATCTTTGCTAGACTAACTGCATTATAAAAATGTGGGGTCGTACGGTAAATGTGTTTATGTAGCTCTTATCGAGTCGTAAAGGGATAGTTCACTGAAAAAAATAAAATGAATGGAGGGGTGGGTGAGGTGTTTCAGTCCATAAACACACAGTCTCAGGGGTAAACAGTGTTGCAGCTGAAGCCAATACAACTACAGATATTCAGGGCTTATCTTCAGATGTAAAACAACAACGGATAAAAAATGTAGCATGCCTCCATACTCCTCATGTGGTGTCAACCAAGTGTCTGCAAGCCCCGACATTCATATTCGATTTGAAACGAGGTCATTTACACTGTGTTTTAAGCCTAAAAGTCCCCATCATTATCTTGCCCCATTCACACTCATTGTGAATACAGTGTGTACATACTGTACAGTGTATATGAGAAAGGACAATTTTGGGCTTCACTACCCAAAGGATTGAACCGCTGACCTTCTGGTTAGAGAACGAGAGGATTTTTCTGTTGAGAGAGAGGATACTTTTTACCTTGGTTAATATTTACACACATAAAAAACCTACATAACACACTTGAGGAAAGAAAAAGTAAAAAAGCATCTTTTATCTCCTTTAACAAGTGGGTAAATACATGATGACCCATGTTATCCAAGCAGAATTTGACAATGTTCCAAAGAGTTTTTTTTAATGTGACTGAATGCAGTCTCCAAGTCCATAAATGTTCAGTGGGGTTGAGGTCAAGTGATTGGGCCTTCTCTGGTCCTCAAGTAGTTGCAGTGTTTTGAGTTGTGTTTGGTTTGATTTATTCTGCTGCAGTTCGAGTCCTTCATCACAAAGATGCAAACATGATAGTACAGCATGTCTCAGAAGAATGGGGTGGTACTTCACCTTGGACAGGATATAGTCAATTCTGTGCAGTTGCTCAACTTCAGAGTCGGCAAAAGACCCCCAGACTAGTTCTACCACTCTGGGTTGGACAGCTGACAGTGAAACAGCCTCCCTTGTTTCCTTACATACAGCCTCCTGTTACTGTTATATTTATCAGAGTTGGATTCATCAGTGGATATGACATGTTGTGCTACAATGTCACTAAGATCACTTTTTAGTTTTACTGATAGGAGTCTTATATTCATCATTTAGCAAATTCTGTATCAGTGATGAAGTTGCTTTTCTATCCCTTAAGGAAACAATGCTGATCCTGTTTCTGCAAAGCTTTTGAATCATTTTAATCGTTTTGATTCTAAGAAAGCCCCTAACAATGTCCGGAGCTTCTCCCTCAGTCATTTGCATTCTCACATACAGCCCCTCTGGAGAATGTCAGGACATAATTCGTTCAGTGTTAAAAGTTCATTGCATATCTGAAAGCAGCTTAATGGACTAGTACTTGTAGAATATGGTCAGAATATGGCATTGAAAAGTGCATTAGCAGCTAGTTAAGCAGCTGTTAATTGTTGCCTGGTGCCCTGCATATGCTTGACTAAATGACATTATGATGATCTTCAGGACATCTAGGACTGGAATCAGATATCCTGACTAATTAAATTCATCCATCAGTTCCTCTGAAGTCATGGAGATATGCTTGTATGTGTGGGACCTCATGCTGCAGGGACATTTAAGAGAACATTTTACATGCAAATTATCTTTGACCATCATTTTTGATATTTTTCAGCATTATAGCTATTTGTAATTCAAATTCAAAATATTTTTGGGCTGTCCCTATTAGTCATTTCGTCAACATAGTGTTGTACACATTTTGGGTCCATTAGTGTTATTTCATGGTCTTTTTTAAAATGAGGGATGAGCTGTTTTTTATGTCATTACTGGAAAAAGTATCACTGTCAATGGCTTCATAATAACACTTGAATGTGTATTGGTTTTTAAGAAGCACATTTCAAGATAAAAGGCAATGACTGCATTCATCTGTGGAGGGACAGTAATCCTGGAGAAACAATTTGACAGACTGAGACAGAGTTTAAATCACAAAACTCTGTGCCAGAGAAATCTATCACAAAAATCTAATATTTTTTGTCAAGCACAGCTGTAAAAGCTATTTACAAAGAGAACATGATATAAATTCTCAGCAGCTGGTTGTCCACTGTGTGCTCCCTCTTTTTACCCCCACATTGGAAACAGTGATCATGCATAGCAATGAACACACATAAACACACGCATAGTTTTAGCTGCCTTATTGTTGCAGATTACGATTGTATTAGCTGCTTTGCTTCTACCTCCAGTGTTTCTGTCATATCTTGCCAGGATATCTGTTTTCCATATTACAGAAGTATGTGGTTTAACACAGACAAATTCCTCTTTTTGCTTTCAGGAAGTGGAGCGGGAGATTTCCTTTCGGACAGAGTGCGGACTGTACTACTCATACTACAAGCAAATGTTGCAGGCCCCGTCCATACAGGAAGGTATACACATTACAAGTTTGTGGTGATATTTCATTTTCTACCCTTCTTCTTTCAACCCTATACACCAACATTGGGAGGTATAAATGTGGTTTTCCCCTCTTCTGTCATGCTGGATGTCATGAACATGCAGGAAACTGAGTAGCTCTCTCACCTCGCTGTCTTGCCAAATTACCACATTCACCCAGGTGACATTTTTCCATCACTGCTAACCTAATAAAAAGCAGTGTCTACTGCAGAGTCATTTGAGTTGTTTTAGTGAATTATATCCATTCCCATTGCAGACAAAAGCCAGATGTTAGTTGGTTTTTTTGACCAGTGGAAAAGGGGCTTTACAAAAGTAACTTATCAGTGTATCTCAGGCCAAGAAACATATCATAAATGCACTACATTATCTTATCAGGTAAAAGGCTTTAAAAAAGCTCAGACCTCTGACTGCATCACAGTTCAGGCCAGGGATAGCAGCTCTGTTTGATTTGGCAAGATTTACATCCCTGCGACTTCAGTCAGTGTAACACGAGTGAACAGTATGTTTGCCCAATGCTTGTTTGCTCGACCCCATTCTAGAAGCCTAATATTAATGGTAATATCTCATATTGCCATGCTTATACTGTTTTTTGGAAATGCAGATTTTGCTTAGATTTTGCTTTTTGCATCATATGCAGTTGTTCATCTCAGCTCTCATGTTTTAAATTAGATTATATTAGTTAGTTAAAAAGAGTATCTTAAGCAAACAGTGTTTATCAAACAGTCAATGTGGGACACAACAGGACAATGAAGGTATACATATAGATATTTTGAGAACTGGTACTATGTGAAACTGCCATAGCTCTAACCATTAAATGATCTCAGAATGGCCAGTCTAAATTTAACATTTTGTTTACACGGATAAAAGTTACCTAGCTACCTACGCCAACAAGGAAAAAGAAACTTTCCCCCTCCATTTGCAGACCAAACAAATCACTGCAGTTTCTCATGACGCACAGTCTGTTCTGTTGGAAATTTGGCAAATTATTTTGTCCCCATCATCATTTAGAATTCCTCATTGGAAACAGGCCTAATTTTCCACTAAGCCAAATAACTGAGCTGTAGGGTAATCTGGAGAGGAACTGGCTGACCTCTCCCTCTGTGTCACTCTGTGTTTGCTTCTTCCCTTGTCTCACTCGTTACACAAGCAGGAGAGAAAGATAAGGGGATGGAAGGAAGAATGGAGTAATGGCAGAATGAGAAAGTGAGGTGAGGGTGAAAGATAAAGGATACATGAAGAAAACGAGTTTTAGAGGCGTGGATGAGGACAGGAGAGGATAAAGGAGGCAAGATGGGTAAGAGGAGAACTGAGGGAACAAATGATGAGAGAAGGAAGGAGGAAAGCAGAGGGATGAAGTGAAATTGGCAGTCGCTGTGTACCCACTTTGTCTATGTAAAGCAGTGATGGTGTATATGGACTTACATGGCTGAAGAACACAGCAGGGATCAGGCTGACACATCCCAGTGTGCAGCAGGAAGTCAGCTCTCCGCTGCTACTCTGCTGTCGCATTTTGTTGCAGTCAAATAAAATACATTGCAATGATACTGCACCCAGTGCCCAATTTGGAGTAATGATGCCAGTCTGTGGTGAGAACTACTCATTTTACGCCACAGGATAATGCCATTGTTAAAGAATAATTCTGGTTTATTACAACTTTGTAGTTTTTGTCCCCTGTAATCCTGTAATACTTAAATTGATCTCACAAAAGTACTGCAATTTCTGAGAACGCAACATCTTTGATAAAAAGTCAGAGTGGAAGAGGCACAGGTAGTCTGACGGTTCTAAACAAAGCACCTATGTCATTAACCATAATCTGAAGAGACACAAGGGAAATGCTTAAATTAGAACCATCACTGCATGCAGAAATACTTTGCTTTGCTACAACCCACTGTACTTGTACTCAGGACTTTCTCCTGTGCATTGAGAGATTGCTACTAATATGTTGGGTGTGTTCACTCTCACTTTGTACATGGTGAAACAATCTGGCCAAACTATAGACTTGTAGTCGACTGTCTGTCTTCTGGCAGCTTCAAACTGCTTTCTCTATTGGATTTTTTTTGTGCCAATGTTGCCGTGTTCCCAGATTTCAGTAATTACTGCGGTGAGTACAGTGTTAAAGGGTTTCTGTTTTTGCAGCATTGTAATGTCTCTGTTTTCGGGCTCTCTCAACAATATAGACAATAGTGGCACACTGTAACAAAACTACAAACTGATACAACGTGAAACTGATAACTGATCGTATCCTACTGTCTCTGCCTGTCCTTTATGAATTATTGTGGTGTTTTGAGGTTTAGTCTATCTGTTGTTAATCTTATTTTCATTCATTAAGGTCTAAAAAGTCTTAAATTTCCCCCCATTGTAGAATAGCTGTTTTATCACACGTGATATATCTGAAAAATATTTTAAAAACAAAAGTTATAATAAACCAGAATTATCCTAACCACAGTAATGGATTTTTGACCACATGGGGGCAGTGGAAACACTATATAATCATCACCTTAACTCGATACAGTGAACTTGTTTGCAAACGGTTTCAGATATAGAGCTTCATTAGCACTCACACTGATATTTTAATTTAGAAGTGAAATGGTTTGAATTATCAAACTCAAGCACTTGCTGGAAGATGTTAAAAACTCAATAGTGTTGTGATCATTCTGGCCCATCAGTCAGGTATACAGCAGTGGTCAGTTGTTGGTACCCACTATAGATATTGCTTACAGACCTGTAAAGGATGTTTGGAAGAATCTCCTCATCTCTGGATCTCATGCAGAAAATTGTTAGTTTCAGTGGAGGTGGTTGCTTCGGGCCACATCTGCCACAAAGCGCCACAGGACACCCTGACACGTACACTGATGCTGTATTTGTGCTCACTCGCTGGTATAAACTCTCTTTTTCTTTGACAAAAAGCAGCACAGCCTTGCTTAGCTTTTTAAATCAACAAAGGAAGGGATGTTTGAAAGCTTTTAAGGTTGAATGCACTGATGGGTTCAGACGCCCAATTTGCTCACAGCAATTAAAGAATTAAATCCTTGCAGAACAATCTGTGGGTTTAGTGCTTGACAGAAATTTCAAACGACGTTATTATGCTTTAACAACACCACACTTTGAGAAAGATTCATACTCTTTCCTCCCTGGTTGTCACAAACCACTAATAATTGTTATCTGTCTATGTCACTGTGGCATTTTTAAAGTGTTTTTGTGTGTGTTCTTAGGGCTTTCTGATTTGATCCATGACAACCTGACAGAATCTAAGAGGACCATTAATCTCCTACAGCGAATGAACATCTACCAAGAGGTCTTTCTCAGTGTTCTCTACAGATTGCTGCCCATTCAGGTAACACATCACTCAGCTGTCAGCTCGTCACAATCGGCTTGTATAACACAAAGGATTAGAGTAATGACTGCCACTGTTCCAATGTGATTGACTGTTTCTGTGGCTTTTCTTGTCATTTTGCGATAAAGCTTTCACCTTGATGAAACATTTTAAATAATATCAGTGTTGTGGTGTTTTAAAAATATTATTCATAATAATATTTACCTCACAACTCGTGACAAGAACACGACTTGTAGTTCTTGTGTTTCAATTAGACATATTATGAGAAAGTCGGGTATTAGAGGTGCTGTGGCATTTGATCTTTTCGCTAACATGGCGTGGCATATTTGCACTAGAGTTTTGGAGGAAAAGGTTTCTGTGCTGGCACATCAATTAACCGAGGAACAGCCGCTGCACTTCTTCAGTGATCTCACTGTGTGACAAGAATGTCAGGAAGTGAAAAATCAGACCAGGCTTTGAAAATGCCACAGTGCTCCTGAGTGCCTGATTCTGTCACAGCAGTCAACTCTCTGTATGTTCATTTACACTGCCTAATGAACCAATGGTCTTTCTCTGTGTGTGTGTGTGTGTGTGTGTGTGTGGTCCAGTCGTATCTGGAGCCAGTGTATTTCTACATTTACACTGTGTTCTCACTCCAAGCGGTGTATGTGATCGCTCTGTACCTCACAGCATGGCTCCTCTCTGGTTCCTGGCTGGCTGGTACGCTCACTGGGGTCTGGTACATCCTCAACAGGTAGGTAATCCGCATAAAAAGAGGGTTTATCTTCTTATTTTAGATGGCGTTCGGGTGAGTCACCCCAGCTTGACAAGCTATACAAAATCTCACAATTCTGTCTGTGTAAGCCATATTTAGGCTGCAGTATCACTGTGAGTACAGTGTACCTAGACAGGAGACTTGCATTTTTACCATGTGTCTGACAAGCTAGTTTCTTGTTATGCCTTTTTAAAACTTGCTCGTAACAGTATTATGATTATATATCTGACTCTCTGCCTCTCTATATGTGGAACCGTTCTACTTATCGGATTCACAGTTGCTATGTGCATTGTTGATGGCCCAGGGAAGTGCAGTTTACTGCAGTATGGACATTTGGAGATTCTGTCAATATTCATAAAATTTGAATGAACAGGCGTCCAGCACTCTGTTGTTGGCAGGGGTGGCGGCACAGTGTACCTTCTGTGGACCGAGTTGAACATAACTTCTTCTACGTCCTCAGATAAACTACAGCTGTGGTTGGCAACTGGGTCAAACAATGCGTCAAAATCTCTCCAAGATCATTTTAATTATCTGATAATTTTTATCTCACCATATTGGACTGACACAGACGCAGATGGCTGGACCCCTGAGGGGTGCTGATCTCATGTCATGGCATCAACATTCATATAATCAATTCGTGTTCCTGAAAAACTCAAGCACAATGTCAGTTTTGTTGCAGCAATGCTTCATCCTGCGCGGAATTACACAGCTTTTATTTTGAGAAGTTGTGAACTTTGGTCTGAAGATTCTATCATTTGCCTGACAGCAATTTAGTAAATCATTCAAACACATGTTTATTAAAAACATAATATTGAAATCTTCACTGCAGATAAGTCAGGTAGGATGAACACAACAAAAGTGACTGTATATTGAGAACTGTTTGAGGAGGACTCACATAATAACAAGGAATAATTGTGATACAAAGTAGCTCTAAATGTGCATTATGTGTTAATGCAGGTTTTATTGAAGCAATTACAGAGATACGTGTCATACACCTTTAAGGAACTTCATATCATAACACTTCAGGTGAACCTTCCTAAAATACGCTTATTATGTGACATTTCTGAGAACATTGGAGTGATTTACATCAATTGATCAACACTTTCTCCAGTATATCTGACAACAGTGTGACTGCTTACTTCAAATCCTGGATGTGATAATTACATTTCCACTGACACTCATCCATGTACATGAACTGATGGATGTGTGGTGTTTTTTTCACAGGTTTTTTTATGATTTCATTTACATTTTTACGTGTTATCAAGCTCTGGTTTCCTCTCTCTTGTTTTTTTGCTGTATAATTTATTCAGTGTTTATCATTATTAATCATTCCCTGATATTCTGCTCAAATGATAACTTTCCTTGCATATGTTCTACCTACTGTATACATCCCTTCAAACAGTTTTAAAGTTATTGTAATAACCTGCCTATTATATTGCTATTTCTCTGTATCATTTTCAACTCCGTATAATAGGAGCTGTCATATTAACAGATTTGGCAGTGTGATAGACACATTTAATTATGAGTGCTTATTTATAAGGAAAATCAATGAATCACTTCGGCCACAAACTCCTGTGAATGAGATTATTTTAATAGATGTTAATTTTATGTTAGCAGTGACTGTTTTTGAAGATGTGTTTTCATTGAGGATTCTTTCCCCTCATGGTTCAGTGGTACTGAAAATACATCGCCCTGAAAAGCAAGTCCCTCTGAATGATGAAAATCCAGCAAAGCAGTATCATGTGAGCAGAATATGAATTCAAAGAGAGCCAACACTTAACTTTGATGTGTTGCCTATTTCTTTAACTGAAGTGATTTGGACTGTGTGACTCAGGCTGCAGACCTCAGTAAATGACATAAGTGATGAGGAACTTTGTTGGATTCTGAACGATTTGGTGTCCTGTAGTGTGAACTGGGTTAAGGACTCAGATTCATGTGGTAAATTACTCTGCCTTCGGTTCCAGTGGAAAGTTATATTCAGTGATTGATGACACAGAAAATATATCAGATAAAGGTTTGTAAGCTGTTTGAATTTTGAATGAGTGTGCTACACCATAAGCAAGCCTTTTAAAAAAAGGTGCCATTTAGCACTTGGTATTATAACTGGTAATGTCACTGATTACTGTTAGAGGAGTAGGCAAGAGGTACATGATGCAGTTCTTCTAAATGTCCAAATACTGTAGAAAGTGACATTTACATGTCTTTTGATTATAAAACTGCTCTGGCTGCTGTATGAATACTAGAGAAATGCTCTCGGCCTTGAAGGGAAAACAAGCTTTCAGGACTTACAATGAAACAGTCACACAACTCGTGACAAGACCACAACTTGTAGTTCTTGTGTTTCAATTAAATGTTTCTATTATGTATGGAATGAATAAATAATATAATATATTTGTCATTCAGAAGTTTCTGGCAGACTCATTTTATTTTTTTGGAAAGAGCCAGGGTAACTTTTTTGTTCCAGTTTCCCATCTTAAAGCTAATGTCAGCTACACTAGCTTCATATTTAGAGTGGTGTCAATAGTCTCACTCAAAAAAGAAAGAAAGAGAAAAAAAATCTTCATTCAATTGCACTGCGCAGTCATAGGGCATGAAAACATCTTTATTTTTCTTTTGTGTGAGTTTTTTTGGGAAATGTGGCAGAAGTTGAAATAAGCTCAGAAACCCTCCTGGCATTTTCTCTGTTTGTCTTTTGGATCAATAGACAGGCGAGGTTTCTGTGGTGACCCCTATAAACAGGACAATACGGGGCCACAGAGTTTAACAACTGTACAAAAGTTGCACTAAGATTTGTTGTGATCAAAAAGTAAACAGCAGTGTGAAAATCATGAGTATTTCACTTGAAACTGTGTTGAACGACTTTCCCTAAAGGTAAAATACATTATTATTATTATTTATTTTTTACAGTAGCAATTACAGAATACACTGTTTACCTGTATCTCAACCAAATTCCTCAGGTTATTGTTGTTGATTTCCACCATCCATGTTTTTCTCCAACCCTCCTTTGCTCCCTCTTTCAGGGTAGATACCACTCGTGTAGAGTTCACCATCTCCCTCAGAGAGAACTGGTCTTTGCCCTTCCTAGCGCTGCAGGTCACTGCTATCACATGTTACCTTCGGCCTCAGCTCACTGCCTTACAGCAGGTACGCGTGCACACACACACACACACACACATGCACACACACGCACATATGCACACAAAAACAAATAAGAGCAATTGACTCACCTCATGGATTGGCCTTGATTCGGCACACTACACCCTATCAGCTCAATAATATGCTGTCTGTAACGCAGCCAGCAGCACAGCACTAATGAGTCTATATGTCATTAGTATCCAATTAAAGATTCTAACCCAGGTCTGTTTGTGTGTTTCCCTCCTCAGAAGATCATGGTGTGGTTGATGTATGTGACAACATTCTGCTTCTGTCTGACGTGGCAGTTCAACCAGTTCATCCTACTGGTTCAGGCTCTCATCATATACACCCTGGACTGTATCGACTTTTTAACAACCACACAGGTATGGAAGAAGAAGGGCCAAATGGTCTAGTTCCATCACTGTTGTAGCTGTGGCCCAATTCAGGAGTTGCTACCTTTGGTCTGGGCGGCTGTGGCGGAGGGGTAGAGCGGTCGTCCTCCGATCAGCAGTTCAATCCCCAGTCTTCCCATCTGCATGCCGAAGTGTCCTTGGGCAAGATGCTGAACCTTGTGCTGCAATAAAGGCTCCAATGTGATGAAATTGGCCTTCAGCCTGTAACGGATGTGGACCCTGAATTGGGAGTCAATGAGTAAATGGAAACCAAAATGGCGCCTATTTACAGAAATTGAATGAAAATTAAATATAGAGCACATATACGTTTTCAAGCCTCTGGGTTACTTTCCACATTGTGTTGCCTATTGTACAAATGTTAGTTTGTCCCTCTGGCTCTGCCTGCACAGTCCCTCTCAGTCCATCGTCAGTCCATTTAGTCTCTGAAGTTTAACAATCCTTGCTCATTAAAATTGTAATATACAAAGAGCAATAGTTTAACTTGTTACCAGCTCTGAAGGTTTTATAGAAATCTCTTTTATAATTGTAGTGTGCCAGAAAAATGCTTTTTGCCACTGGAGGTTTTTTCACTGCTGTAGCCAGCAAGGCTGAGAGGTGTCACTATACCCTGCTCTTTAATACAGCGATGGTTACCTCAACCAAATTACAAAAAAGCAATACATTTACGGATATTTTTCCGGATCCTACCACTTTTCAAAAATTAAACTAAAATACAAACAGTGCAATCTTACCAATTTAGAGTCAGAGTCTGCCCAGCACCAATTAGGGGATGGAGCCGTGGTAGCATGGTTTAGTTGTTACTTGCGCTTGACCAGTCACGAGTCAATCTCAGATATTAATCATGACATTTCCCCCCGTTTTAAATAGCATCAAATAACTCATTAAAACCAATCTTACCAGGAAAAACACTTGGACAAACATCAGTGTGTGATGAACATAAAATGACAAATGATAAAATGTCCATCTACTTCGATTTTTTAGTCCGGTCCATGTCCCATATGTTAACATTGAGGAGGCAGGATTTCTGACCTGTATTGCAGCAGCCAACAGATGGTGATCGAGTTTCTTCGACTTCACATGTCGTCCATATTTATACACAGCTGATGCATCACATTGACACAAGTTTGTTTGTGTGTGTGTGTGTGTGTGTGTGTGTGTGTGTGTGTATTTTTCCAGGTGACCACTCTGTACCTTGTTCAAGTGTGCGGTCTGCTGAGTGTGTGGCTTCTTCAGTTCTGTAACTCCATGATACTGGGATCACTGGTCCTGAGCTTCATCGTAGCTGCACTCTTCATCAGACACTGCCAGGTTAGTTTGTGTGTGTGTGTGTGTGTGTGAGAGAGAGAGAGAGATGGGTACTGGGGATAACAGTGAGAGTTTGAAATGAGTATAGACAGGAAGGTGGAACATGGAGAATTAATGTAACCATGAAGGTTAGTCAAAGCTTCACAGAGAAAGATCCAGACAGTAGTGGTAGCTTGTTTACAGATGGAAGGTTAACCTACATTGGTGTGACGAGGTCTGTGCTGGAGTCAGTTTTTGCAGAAGATAGTTCCAATTTGTACGCTGGAAAATAATTCTCCTGCTTGGTCGAAATGTAATTTAGTCAAATCAGATCTTATCACAGTAACAATTATTGAAACGTTTAATGTGACAGAGTTAAAGCGAAGTAGAGAGAAAGATGGAGGAAGGTTTAGAATCTGAAATGAGGAGAGAAACATTTCATTCCTGGACTTAAAACATTTGTGTATTTTAATAATATGCTGTAATTGTGAAGTGTGTGAAAATGTGCATTTCCCGTTTTATGGTTTATGTATCTGATGACGTTATACTCCACTTGCTACTGGACTTTAACAACAACAACCTGCGACCTTACATCCTCCCAAGCCAAAATATTAAAATGTATGTGATACACAAGTATGCAGAGCATCAGCGCTTCACATTCCTGACAACAGATTGAACTCTGACAGCAGCCAGTCACAGTGCACATAGCAATGCAGACCAGAATATTATCACTTTAGAGCAAAATCATTTCGGGTTGGCAAAATTTTCTTCTTTTGCTGGTTTGAATGAAAAAAATCTTTAACGAGACAAATGTTAATTACCAAAATTAAAATTTTGCTACCGCCTCCTTAATGTGCAAGCTGGTGTCTGTGCTCGGCCAAAAAATCATTTGTGAGATTGACGATGCTTCACTCTGCACCATTCCTCTAATATCACAGTAGCTCATGAAAAATGACTTGTCCCAAGTAAGTAGGCCACAGGGGTTATTTCAAAATGTCCAATACATATTTTACTAAGACTTCACGTCCTCTGCTGCTCATCTCATTTTTTAAGGTCTTTTAATGGCTGTGTTAAAAGAAATAAAGGTTGTTTCTGTCTAACTCAGCCAGAAAAACTGTGAACATAATTTACATCACTGAATTTTATTCATTACTTTTGTCAGAAATGTCAACAGCTGCTGACAAATGGATTCAGGAAACCATTTACAATTTCATTCAGATTTGATAAAATGCCAAACCTTGAGAGTGGAATAACATATTGAGGTGCACCTGATCCTTTTGCTTATAGATCTTTTAAAGGTGGTGACATTTTTAGAAGATGATAAATGCACTTTTTACTGAATGAACTTGCGCTTTAAAGAGAGCATTATTTACACAAAGTTTCGGAGCTGAACTTGACTTGTCTGAGATCAATTTCAAAATCAATGGTTGTTACGACACAAACTGAACTGGTATGCTATTAATAAAAGCATGGCCTTTTCTCAGTGCTAGCTCCTTCACATTCACCTGCCAACAATTAAATTAGTCTCTACAGTGTATGCAGTTTACTTGAATCATATGCCTCACTTACCTATGTGCAGGCAGACTGTTTGCATAGGGAGGTTATGGATTACTGGCGCTTTTCAGCTGAACTTCCCGACATCTTTCACCATGACCTGACTTGTTGTGCATCCCCTTCAGCCAGGCTACGCACTCGGCCAGCTCAGACACTGTCTTATGGTTTCTGTGCGTAAGTGATGGAAAAGCATCCCAGTGCACAATGAAGCAGTGTCGAAGAAAAGAGTCTTTGCTCTGGGTTACTGTCGTCAGAGTCACGTCTTGAGGTTTGCTGGGTCTCTACCCATTGTCAGCTGCTGTTGCCTCCTCGGTCTCTCAGGTGTGTGTCGCAGCCAGGAGTGTCAGTCTTTCCTTACCACCAATGCTACACCTCAACCCAAACATTAAGAAACAAACAAACCTCCTAATAGGTCCTAACAGTGGTCAAGACTTGAGACTTTCATGTGACTTTTAAAACTGTTGCCACCTCCTGGTTTGTAAGTATTTAAATCATGATCTGAATATATTATGTTAGCCATGCAGGGTTGGTGTTTGATATCTTGATTGTGTGTGTAAGTTTTTCTACATATCAAACAGTACTGAGAACACAACAGATGCACTGACTCATCTCTGGTTGCTGTCTGATCCTGCAGTCTGGACTGAAGACAGGAAGCCTGCTGGCTCGTCTGGGCAAACTGCTTCTCCACACTGCCATGGTTCTTCTCCTCACCTTCACCATCAACTACCTAGCCAAGGTGCTTCTCTTCTGCTTCACTGCTTTCATTTTTCATTTCTCTCCTCCTCCTTTAATACACTAAATAACCTTCCTCCCTTAACCTCTCCTTCCTTTTCCCTGCCTCTCCTCTCATGTGTGTTCCTTTCACTCGTCTTCTCCCTCTCTCTCTCCTGCATATCTCCTCTTCTTTTATTTTCTTTTTGTTCTCTGTACCATTCTTCTGTACCCCTCCTGGACTTCTGCTGCTTCTCCCCCTCTTCCTTTCTTCTTACTTGCTGCTTTACCACCCTTGTCTTTTCCCCTGGTTCACTGCACTCTCTCCTCTTCCACCTCCCTCTACTGCAGCCCCATGCCCTCTCCTCCTCCTCATCCTGATCTATCTAAAGCTTGTAGTGGGGACGTGAGACGACCATATGATCAGAGCTTTATTTACTTATTTATACGTGTCAGTGCTGATCTTTAGCCCTAACAAGATGACCTTATCTGTGTGTATGTTTACAGAAAGCACTTCAGCTCAGATCAGACGAGCACATCTTTAAATTCATCAAGTCAAAGTTTGCCTTGGGGCCAACAAGGTATGAACACACAAACACTCACCGACAGACACACAAACACTCAGCACTGCTGCTCAGTTCTTATGCCCGGCCACACAGCTCTCTTATAAAACCTCGTCACATGGACCTGCTCGAACACATCGCACACACAAAGTCTGCGCCGTCTACACACCTCTTGACTTGATCTAGCATGACTGTATTATTCACTAAGCACCGGTGTTGTAGCACCTGGAGTGTTAGTGTGTGTGAATAATAGATGACGGGGTAACGCCAGCAGGCCTCCCATCAATCAGATAGTATGTGTGTGCGCTGAGCAGCTCAGCCACTGGAGAGCTGCTTTGGGGTGGCAGATAACACAGCTCACAACCCAGCGCCACACAACTGGCCCTTCAATTATTCAGGAGGCTTGTGGGAAATGCAGTGCTTACTCTGTGCTCTATCTCTGCCTCTCCCTCTGTTGCTGTGTCTCTCCCTGGCTGAGACTTCTTTCTTCTCTCCATCCGTGTCCTTTTGTTTTTATCCCTCGAGTTTTGTTCTGTGTTTTGTGAAATCCCAATTCTCTGTTCAATTACGTATCAGCATGTCGGCGTATCCGAGGCATTGCAAAATACAAGTTTATAATTCACATTCAGTCCCTATTAAGATGCATTCAGTTGATTTTGACTGTACACGCTTTTGTTCCTTTTTTTGTAAACTGACAGAAGAAATAAGGAGGTGTGGAGGTTTTTTATTGATTGTTGTATTGCTCTTGTGTCCTAAATGACGATTTTTGCAGCCCTGTCTTCAACACACAACCTTTTTTTTTGCTTCTCTGTCAGATTAGGATAGTGTTTGCGAGACCACAAGTTATGATTCCAGATTTGTTTAAAGAGTTTGGACATGTTCTTCATCGTACATAGATAACCAACTTGTTTTAATTTGATTCAGGATGATTGAACAAATCCAGGAAGCAGCTGTTAATTGAGCAACAATTCATTTTTCCCAAACCCGCAGGTCTTAGGGTTAATGCCACATATAAAGTAGCAAGCTAGGGTTGGTTATCCTGGTAAAAACTGTCAAGAGCAGACTGAGCTTTGAGACTGTGTGACCAATGCATCCTATCCCCTCCCAGTTGCCCTCTCATCAAAGCTACGCCTCCAAAACACACGAATGTGCACTGACTGACAAGTTCTACCAGCCGACTTTTCTGTCGTCTCTCTGGTTGATGATTCCATGTGCAGTGAGAGCACAGGCTGGGTACACACAGGCAGACAGGTCAGTTAGAGACAGACAGGTACGCCAGCCAGTCGTTTAATTCGGTTGAAAGTATAATCCCATGTGAAGCATGTGTGCAGCCTACAGAAACTTCGGCTTCATGAACTGAAGCAAGAACCGACGGTGCTCGACACACTTACTGACAGACGAGTGATCACCACAGGAATGAGTGTTGAGAAACAGAACCAAAAAATATACCACTGATAGTTACAACTGATGAAATATAACTTCTCTCGCTCCTACCAATGATATGCTCCTTTCTTTTATGTCCATCTTTCCCTTTCTTTTACTCTATTCCTCCCTTTCTCTCACGCCCCACCCTGCACGCCTCCCTGTCTTCATTCGTTTTCACCCCCCCTCCTGTAGGGACTTTGATGCCAGTCTGTATCTGTGTGAGGAAGCCTTCGGCTTGCTGCCCCTCGACACACTGGAGCGGCTGGCTGGTACCCTCCTGCTGTATCCCTACATCCTCACCCTGCTGCTGCTCAGTGGCATGCTGGTGGTGAGCGCACTGCAGAACCTGAGGTAGGTGATGGCAGGAGAGGAAGTGTCGTCCGACACTTGTTCCTGCATGTGTTAGAAGAGCTATATGGTGTCTAATAATGCCAGAAATATCTGTCTGTATGTATTTGTCTCACATATCTCAGGAACTGTTCATCTTTTCACCTTCACACTTTTAGTGTGTGCAGAATTTTGTGATATCTAGTGATGAAATTGTCTGTTGCAGCTGAACACCCCTCACCTCCCCTTCTTAAAGTGAAAAAGAACCTGTGGTAGCCTTTAATTGTCATAAAAAAGTGTTTAGTTTGTCCAGTCTGGACTAATGTAAGCATGGCGGCCTCCATAGAGAGGATCCCCTTGATGTAAATATAAAGTATTTAAATATAAAGGGTCTTTTCTGGGGTAAAGAAAACTACAATTTATACAATTTAGATGAAATGAACTATTGAAAACATCATGAGGATTATTCTACATTAAATATCTGCCAATAGATCCCTTTCACCTAAATCTTACACACTGGACCTTTAAGGGTCTGAAAAAGTGCAGTGTAGAATTCGGTGCAATTTGGACACGTGACACTTTCAGTTTTGATAAAATTCAAACAACTAGGTGACCAGCAATTTTTAGCAGCAGCGGCTGGGATTCATCCATGTAAGGGACGTTGTCAATCATGACACCAGACACTGATTCTCCAGTTCACGGTTCTGAGTCCAGCTTCACTGAACTTTGGAGAAACAGGTGAACAGCTCTTTGTGCAGCAAAGAGGGTCAAACCTTTTGCAATATGCAATTTATATTCTAAACACCACACATTAGCTGACATGCACATTTTTAGCATTGCAGAAGGGAACAGATTGAATCAGTACAAGAATTATTGTTTATTTTCTGTCTTCTGGTGAGAAATTAAATGATAGGAATGATAATTGTGTCAGGTTAAAGTGATTGCTCAGTTTTTCAACCAGTATTTACTCCTTAAATGTGGCAGTGGTAAGTTAATGTGAATCCTTAGCAGAAGTTGAGGTAAAGAGGTTTTGAAGTGTAAATGAATGTAAACTTCCAAAACTTCCAGATAGTGAAAGGACTTTCAGTTAAGCAGAGGACTTGACAATGGCTGTCAGGAGGCAGAAACCCTGTCACAGTGTTAGTCACCATCCCCCTGTCTCTGCCCCACATCACCGCAGACATGCTATTGTAGCTTCATGTCATGTAAAACATTTTTGCCAGCTGCCTCTCGGAGCTTCATTTGCCTGCGGTGCAAGGTGAGGGGCCACAGTGAGCTAAACACATTAGCATATCAACTCGCCCTCTACTGTAGGGGGGCTGGAATACTAACCTCATAGAACAAAGGGCTACTTGCCAATTCAGGACTTAATTTAATCCCGTTTACCCCACCTCACGTAGCAGGAGGAGCTACCCTGGATTTATATTCAAATGGAAGCCGACGTCCACCCGATTCTGTGCGGGACGCCAAATTGTGGGAGTGACATCACTGCCCTAAGGCCTTTCTCTGTTTCTCTGCGTGCTGACTCCCACAGACGGTTGTGGCTGTGCATCATTGTGTGTCTGTGAATGGCCACTGAAGTCTGAACAACAACGATTGAAATCTGAATAACAGCGACTGAAATCTGTATATTATCAATTCCACCCACCTCCCCTTCTGCTCTGCTCAAGCGCCTGGCTGTAATGTTTTATGTATCGCTGTTGTCTTTCCTCTTCCTGATGTTTTTGTTCCTCAGCAGGGCTAAAGGAGGTTCAGCTGAGGAGAGGAAAGGAGCAGAAAGACGCCTGGTTGCTCTCCGTCCTGATGTGGCCTATAATGTGTTGCATACGCTCTTCTATGGTCTCCTGGCTTTCAGCACTATGAGGTGAGCACATACAAACACACATGCAGCCTAAATTCAGGATCATGTCTATATCAGATGCAGGATTCAGACATTCAGATATTCCGGGGTCACAATGGTTTCATTCCTAGGCAGGGACTCATCAAACATTTCCTCCTGACAAGTTGACTGTGAGCAGTTGCTAAAAAGTGCCACTTATATGCTTTTCACCAATAGTCGGACTAGTCCACCTGATCAACCTGCCATACCCCTTGAGACCCTGTTCAGACCTGGAATTAACATTCGTCATCAAAAGTGGCCAGCACTAAGGATGTGTGTTCATATCTGGCTTTAAAATGCGTCCTGAATGTGTCTCCTGTGACCACTTCCTGTACATGCAAACTCTAAGACTAAATGATGTTGTTTTGACACTGAGTTTACAGATGTGTCCCATGTCACAGTTTTTGTGTGTCTGCATAGGAGAGAGAGAGGAGTCAGGAGGTGCTGAACGAATCTGCAGCTGCATTAAAAGAAAGATTTCACCAATTTAAGAAAAGACTATGCAGTGTATTTGGCAAATGGTACACACTGTTAAACCCACTCCATACATTTTTGGCTGACATGGTTTTTGGCGGAAAAATATAAATGAGCATCTCTCGAACTAAAGCTCCACTCACACGACCTTGGTTGCTTAAAAGCACACCTTCTTTTCTTAAGAGATACTGAGTATAAATACTAATTATAATAACTATATTTATATTGCACCTTTCAAAGAGCTGTTTCATTAAGAGGAGAAATAAAAATACTAAACATCAAGGACAAGAACATTTGTAGAATATCATTTAAAATCAATGACAGCAAATGATTTAATACAATATCTAAAGAGCAGATACTTAAGATCACACCATTCAAAAGTAATGGCAAAAGAAAAGAATAAAAGAAACATGAGTAATAACAAAAACCAGTCAAGTAAAAGCCATTGGGTGAAAGTATATTTTGAGAGACAAATTATTAACCCACACACAAAATGGGTCTGGAAAGATGCCTGGGCCACATTTCCATGCAAAGTCGGTAAGTTCGGTCTAAAAGGAAACCTTGACAGAAGAAAGAGTGTCCCTCTGAGGAAGTGTGACCCACATGTGTAAACAGTTTGGAGCAGAAGTTGAGGTAAAGGCTCAGAAGGCTCTGTGGTTTGATCCCCGGCTCCTTCATTTAGCATGCTGAAATGTCCTTAGGATAGACACTGAACGCAGAATTGCCACTGACGACTGTGCCGCGAAAGATTCAGTGTATGAATGTGTGTGTGAATGGCAAAACTGTGTAAAGCATTTTGAGTGGTCATCAGGAGTAGAAAAGCACTGTATAAATTCAGACCATTCACAACACTAGCATGTAATGCTTCTGTCTTTCTGGGGTCCTTGTGTCACACACGTGTGGCCTATTTGTCTGGTTCGCCTCCTGCAGCTGCATCATTTCTCAGCAGGTTCCACTGCAGGAACATTATCGCCACTTGGGCAGTCTCCAGTTACAGGTGCCAGAGAGCCCTGACACTGGCACCAGTGCCAAGGCTGAGCAGAAAGATCGGTTGTAGACTTTCATATTCAGCGACTAGGTCTTAGTTTCCAAACTGTTTCAGCTCTCTGCGCTGGCAGTGTTTACTGCTGCTGTGACGTGCTGGCTCAAATTTGCTGTTTTTGGTCACAGCGGAGGTATGACCACCAAACTGGATTGTTTCCACTGACACTTCTCAACCGATGCAACAATAATTGTCTCAATTTACCACACAGTGTTCTCCATTCTCCTTTGTAGATTTATGTATTTTATATCTGTTATATTGGATTATTAAAACATTTCGATTCAAGATTTAAATCTTATCTCGTTTTCTTGGTATGCTTTTTAGTATTTGCTCATGTTTAAAGAGAAAGTAACAAGCCCCTGAAATCATTTTTTACCAGCTTCCAATGGTTTCACTTCTCTAATAGGTGTGATGAGGTAGACTTGATCTTCAGGATGTAGTGACATCACTGTTGGATGTCACACCCTGTCACAGTTGCTGAGTGTGGTCACAGAGCGGGCATGGGTCTGTCCTGTAGGTTTTGCGTCGGCAGAGGTAATAAGTACAATGTGGTAGTACAAGTGGTGTATATCTTTGCATTTGACTTATTATCATTAGCTCTGAAGTGTTACACAGCTGAATAGCAGTATTCATTGCCAGCAGCATTACTACATTTCCTGGGAAAGAGAATTCCGAGCTGCAAACAGAGACTGCTGCTGTTGTGGAAGTATAATAACTTTTAAGTTGTGAGGAGTGTCCAGATAAAGCATCATCACAGCTTTGGTTCGTATTAAAGGAATACTGCAATATTACTCAGATAACAAAAACTAAAGGTATTCTGGTATCTGGTTTAGTCATAGTAATATGAAGATACAGGTTTTCACTGGTTCATGAAAGTAGTTCAGTTTGTACAAGATAATGAGAGCAGCATGATCTGTGTTACTCTATGCATGTTAATGTTGAACATGGTGTTGTGAGTACATATATATCAGAGTAGCATGTGACATACAGTTTATTTTAAATATACAGTTCACACAGTGCATTCTTGTTACTGTTAGGAATTATAGAAATGATTCACTTCACACAAAATGAGAAAACTCAAAACTTTTAACTTGGCAGCAGCCAGGTGAAGTGCGGAAACCGGCACCTTTCTCTAAAGTGCTGATTAAGAGTGAAAGGCCAAAAGTGCAGAATGCTATTTGTCTCTGTCACAAAGCTCCTTTGCATAGAAAAAGCATCTAGATTTATTTCTGTGAGGCTGCACTTCTTCATGCCTCCTCCTCTCTCTCCTCTCGGTACCCGTCAACGATTTTTCAGCTCATTTCATTCTCTCGGCCCTCTTTCCGCTGCTCACTCCTCTCTGTTTAATCTTTTTCCCATTAAAATTGTAATTCATGTGCTTTGGATCAGAATAGATCTTGGATAATAATGTCATGCTTTAGATACTAAATCAGGTTTAACCACTTTGGATCCGTCATACTCAAGTATACCAAGTCTTCTGCTAAACTAAGGACAATTAGGTTGTCATGTTTGAATTTACAAGTGCAAGTATTGAAATTAAAAGCTGCATTTCAACCTGCTGCATAATCTGTCAGCCCTCGTATCATGAAGATCAGGATTGAGATGTTCTACTAATTTGGTGCATTACCCCCACTGGAAATGTATAGTTAATGAATATTATTACAAATTGAATGAATGTCAATCAATTTCTCTCCCATTCTGTACCCAGGATGAAGTATATATGGACTGGCCATATGTGTGCGGTCGCAGCATACGGTGTGTGTGGGACAGAGTTGTGGACTCCTCTTCTCAGCACTGTCCGCTGCAACAGTAAAGTTCTGGTAAGAATTTCCAGCTCCAAACATGTACTATGAGCCTCATTCACAATTTTAATTCAGAAAGTTCCTCAGAAAACTCTACTACGTTCTTAAACTGCCGACTTGTCAGCACGTGTTCTTGTATTGATGAATTCTATCATGTTGAAAGCGTGTGCCAGTTATTCCTAATAAGCATCGGCCTTGTGCGCACACAGCAATCACAGAAACTGAAAAGAACATTTAAGATGTCAATAATGACTAAATGAAAATCTAAAGATGGTGACACACCAGGCTCAAACCATAAAAATCTGTTGTATTCAGTAGTGTCAGCAGTGGATATAAAATAACACGAAAGAATGTGCATGGGATTCAATTACACGTTCAGTGAAAACTGTATCAGGAGTGCATAGGTTCTGTTCATCCATAAGAGGATTTTTTTTCCAAGAATGGTTGGTGAACCATGCAGAATATAAACTGTGTCATTCCGCACATGTACTTCTTAAGCTAAGTCATTATAATGGGTCAGGTTACAGTGATGAGCACACAGAGAATGAATAACCTGACAAAGAACCCTTTCATCCCTGTGGACCCTTTAGCCTCTGTTAGCTGATGGCTTCACACTCCCACACAAGTATTCACATGTTCACAGCATCACTGCTACCCACTGGGGAAGGAACCGTTCAAGCATCGTGCTGCGCCTCTGGCCACTGTGCAACCACAAGTGTGCAAACACATAAAAACAAATTCATAGAGGCTTGTGATAGGAGATTTCCCCCCCCCCTCTCGGTTTGTTAATGAGATCCTGTCTTGCCCTGAGGAACCTTCCATTGACAGACCACCTTTTCTAACCTTTTCTTCAGTCCAGAAGTTTTTTTTCACTTTCCCTGATCCAGCAGTGCATTAAATGATAAACAGGGCTGGGTATCAATTTCAGTTTCAGCACTTCTTTGTGTATCCTCAATTTTCATTTTTTATTAAAAAAACATTTTGCCTTAAAACCCTGCTTTCAATTAACAGAACACAATAGTCGTATCTGTGTCTTAACAGAAGCAGCTTTACAAGATCTTGCCTGAATAAAATTCAGAGGAGGATGAGTAACTATTTTTCAAATAGAAATAATCTGATATTAGTTATTAAATACTTCTGATAATTTGGATCACAACTCAATAAATACCCCTTTTTGACCAAGGTGAACCTGGTTCAGAGTCAACTTATGAACAATTAAAGACCCACTTTGCTTTCCCACAGAGCCACGTGTCACTTTACACGTCACTTTATACATCTGTCTTAATGTCTCTGATTTCCCAGCAACAGCACAACATCAACAGTGGCCGACTCCAGTGGGAACAAGGGGACAATATGTCTCCCATGTGGACCACTGTTTTTGGCACCCATAGATACAATTATTTAATTTTCTTTGCAGTCTACACTTGACGTGAGTTTCTTTTTGATATCCAGTTCTTGTAAAACCACCATTGTGTCGATCATGAATCTCCAGGAAGCATGATAGCGACATCTTACTGTGAGACATTTTGGAAGACGTAGTATTCTTTATCATTTACTTTTTTTTGATCATGCTGTCCAATGACCAGCTGTTTGTGAAACCACAGCCTCGACTCTGTACTGCTGATATAATTACTCAGGAGGCCACTAGGTGTCAGTGTGGTCATGACATGACAACAGCATACATCTGATAAGAAATTATACTCGGGGCCAGTGCTGCCCTGTCTCGCTTTTATCTCTGTGTTATCGCTCTCAGTGCTTGTCTTCATTTTAGTTATGTCTCTGTCTGACTCTGACTTTCTCTGCCCCTGATACGATTATATTCTTTCATTTCATTAGAGCTGTTTTCTTTTTCTCATTCTGCAGTTACGCCTCGTCAGATATGCAGTTCCACTGGCGATGATGGCTTGCCTGTATTACAAGGTATGCTGTCTTCTTTGGCGTTTATGTTCATCAATGTGTTTTCGGCCTCATTACAGAGCCCAGACACTTTGTACAAACTATATGCAACAATGTGAGAAAAAAGAAAGTGCTGAAATGGAAGTTGCAGAAGAAAATGATAACAAGCAAATGGATCATAACGGGAGACAAAAATGATTGCTCCCCTTTAATTTATTTTGCCATTGGAAAAGCCTAAATGATTGTCATATACGCTGGCATATTCAGTGCCATAATGAGTTTTTGTTTAAGATATATCAGTGGGTGTCATATTCTGCTTTCTAGCCATAATGAACACTGACACTGGGTTTCTCCTCCCTTGTCTCTGTCTGTTTCCCTTTAGTTCTGGCCTAAGCTGATGGAGGAGGTATCAGAACTGAGGGAGTTTTATGATCCAGACACTGTGGAGCTCATGACCTGGATTAGGTACACACATACACACTTATACACACCCACACTCAGAAAATTAAGAGCCCTGCCTCAAATTGAGGCAAATCTGATTAGCTTGTTTCCACAGATCAAGTTTCACTTTACCTGATGCCCTGGATTAGTCTGTGGGAATGTGTACGCATGCATGTGTGGATCTGTGCTTGTTTGCGTGGGAGTCCTGCCGATGACTGATGCGAGCCGATGGGTCTCCATGAATAAGACATGGGGGTGCTGGAAAGGACCCAGCTGTTGGCAGAGCTCTAACACACCTCGGGGTCTCCATGGTCGGGCTTTCGATCAAGAGCATCAGCCTGATGGGATGAGAGATGAAGCCATGATTTGGAATGGCTCTGCTCCGCCACTGCTGTGTGTGTGTGTGTCTGTGTCTACATGTGTTTCTCTGTCACTTTTTGGCCATTAGGTCAGACAGGGTCAACTAAAGAGTTCCTGTTGCATATCATGCATGTAGCACTGCATCAAATCACATGTAGTCTGCCCCCCCCCCACCCAATTAAGGATATGTGAAAGATTTATGAATAAGAAGATTTTTAGCATCAGTGAGAAGAAGTCTTCCAGATTTCTTGCTGTAGTGTTTCACATTCACTATTTACTAACCAAGTCCGACCTGAACCGGACAGGCATTGGCGATTCTTTGCATCCGGACCCAACCAAAGCGCGATGCAGTTGACGTAAGCTGTACTGATTTTGTGTTACTCTGTCACTGTTGAGACACATGGTTATTGCTTGTTTTTCTCCAAAAGTTGGTTTACTTTATTACGTGGAAGATGCTGTTGCTCTGAACGTCCCATGGATCGCTCATGCGTTGCTCAATTTGAAAATAGTAATATTGTTTGCTTAGGACATGATGGTGAAAAGCCCTTGTACGTTTGACGGTCTTCCGCACTAGTTTGATGATAAGTTGCCACCCACCAGCGGATGTTAGGGAAATATCAGATTATAATATATTATATGTTGTGAACCCTAGCATCATCAGGGGTTTCCGCCTTTAAATCACAAGAGCCCTGCTGCTAAAGCCTGAACATCTTGGAGCCCAGATTGGGTCTTTCCTCCTGATCCGGAGCCTTTGGCTTCAGCGTTCTGATGTGTCTCCTGTCATGCACAGGAATTGTCCGTTGAGGGAACAGCATAATGTTAGTCGTCTAACAAACTTCTTCATCGGGTACGGCCCTTATATAAATGGTTTAATTGCTGCTCTCTTGTACCAAATGATTTATGATTTAAAGTTTTCATTGTTTCCATTGTCTTTCTTCATGTTTTTCATTTCATTTGAGACAAAAGTTTGATAATTGGCAAAAAACCAAACAACATAAATGTACTAAAATATTTTTATTATTATTTCCATCCTATCATCATCAGCATTAAAAAAACTGAGTGGTCCAGAAATGATTTTTTTTAGAAATGGCCAATTCTGGTCTAATCCTATTAGACAGAGAGTGGAGTGGCACAGAGAGGGTAGGAGAGAGGTGGATAGTGAGACAGAGGAGGAGGGGTTTGGGTGTGTGAATGTATTTGTGTGCGACATGGACTCCCTTCCCTCTGGAGCTAATCCCATTAGGCTCTGAGGATTAGGGGCTGCCTAGAATTACCTTGGTTGGGACTGAGAGCAGGGTGGAGCGCAAAGCTGCTTCTTGCCACTGCGCTAATTACATTCCAGATGAAAGTGTTAAAATGGGGAGCGGGTTGCATGTTATGCTGTATTCTCCAGCTGACTGAGGCCAAGGCTGTTTTATGTATAAAGGTCACAGGAGATTCTCAAACTGTGGTGTAATGAGGGGCAGAACAAAGATAGGTACATGCATACAGAAAAGAGTATATTTGGGGGTGCTGGCGGTGAAGCTGTGGTAATTCCGGCTGCAGGGCATGTGCTGCATGTACAGTTATAGGTCCGGGAATATTCAGACAGTGAATTAAAGCTGGAAGTCTGCCCTTCAATAGCATCTCAGTTATTTCATTTCAAATCAATTGTGGTAGCATTCAGGGCCAACATTATGAAAATTATGTCGCCGTCCAGATATTTCCGGACCTAACTGTATGAGTCATGTTTAACTGATAAGGGCTGCAAATGTTCAGAAAATGACTCGTAGTTCTGTTTTTACAGCATGAAATGTCTAATAAGGATAACATGTTCTTTAAATGTACCAAATCTTTATTCTAAAAATTCAGAATCAAGATTATGTTTAGGAAAGGATAAAGCTATTAGATTAAAAGACAGATAGGATGGGTTTAGGACGAGATTAGAGGTAAGAAGGCTCTCACAGCTAATGATACATGTCCTTGGCTCTCATGATCTCAGAAATATGTGTTAAGGCAGGTTGATGAGGGGATTATCCTCATTCTCCGGGCAGTCATTCATAAACCTGGGCTCTAGGGGTTTGAAGAACTAAGATGTAGGTTAATGTGGCAACATCAGCGAGAAGTTCATCTGTACAAGCATAGCTCATAGGTTTCCACTTGATAACAGCGGCGGCTCAGCTGTAGGCTGATGCTCGGTTCTAAATGGACAGTCAATAAATCAATAGCAATGCCTGCCCGTTCCACAGCCACCGACTGTGAGTTATAGTTGTGAGTGTGCAGTTTTTAAAGTCACCAATATCATCTCTGTCTCACACATTTGACGTGCCTCTCTGCTTTTTCCACAGTCTATATCTTCACCTTTACAAATCTAGATTTGAGTTTTGTGTTGTGAAAGCAGCAAGCGAGGCTAAGAAAAACTAAAGCAGGAGTTATTAGCAGTGGCTTCGTGGCTTCGCTCTGTGAACTCAGTGCTGATCCCGGTGCATGAAGAGTTAGAGGCAGCGCAAGTGTTCCATGTGCAGCATAGAGAGGAGCAGCTTAAGCTCGGGAGCATGTTTAACTCTACTCACCACTATGACGATGGAGGGGAAGTGTTTGAGTCCACAAAACACTTTTGGAGTCTCAGTGGTAAACAGTGTTGCAGACAAATCCAATACAATTGAAATAAGCCTAAAAGTCTGCTACTGGAAGTAACGATACTAACATGTGCCCTTGGGTGAGAGCCTGTGTGCAGTGTTTCTGGCTCAGAGGCAGATATCAGAGGACATTTAGGCTAAAAACATATTGTAAAGGACGCTGTTTCAAGTCGATTTGAATGTGGTGGCTTACGGACATTTGGATGACACTGGAGCAGTATGGAGGCATCTCATTTTTTTTTTCTGTTGTTTTTTTACATTTTAAAAATCAATCACAATTGTATTGGATTTGGCTGAAACACTTCACCGACCCCTCTATCAGCATAGTGGTGAGTAGACAGTGAGTGAGTGAGTTTTCATTTTTGGGTGAACTGTCCCTTTAATGTTATTCCAAACCATGCATGTTTGGCAAGTGCAACAGGAAAGGGGAAAAAATTTACATTTTACTATGTGCAAGAACAGAAGCCTGCCGTCAGAAGCCTTTATTAGAAGTTTCAGGACATAAAAAGTGAACAAGAATGTATTTGCAATGTCATTAATGTGGTGCCAGCTCATGTGTATGACGACCTACAACATAAAATTGTTCAGCTGCAAAGAAACAACGAGCTCTAAGCTACAGTAGGTACAACCTCCCTCTGCTGTATACGCTTTTTAGTACGTCTGGAGGATTTTCCCACTCTGGAAACACGTACTGAAATTTGTACCTGTGATTTGGAACAGTGCTTTTTAAAAAAAGAGTCTTGCAAAGTCTCATGAAAGACTGACTTATAAATCAATATCAGATATCATCACGGTGAAGGGTCTATCTCAGACCTCTCGCCAAAGAGAAGCAGGTTAGTGTGATATATGTGTTCAATAATTTAGTATGACCCTCGGAGGATGCTATAAAAATTGAAACGGCCCTTGAGCCCCTGTTACAAAGTATGGAAGCCGTACGTTTTAAATACTGTCAGCCTTATCAAAATCACATGCACTTCATTGGATGTGCTAGTGGTCTGTGCATACGTTTTTTTTTTAGATATATATTTCAGTTTCGGTACGTTTGATTTGGAAACCTCATGCTTAGTTAAGTTTACAAAGTAGCTGAGAAAATATATGTACATATATACTGTATGTATGTAGCTGATGAACAGTACTTTTCAGTAAAAAGTATTTTCCTGTGTTTTTATGTTGATGCTCTATCCTGGTGGATGTCAAATAGATTACGATCGTCATTGTTGGCATGCTAATTTTCTTACGTGAGTGCTCAGCTCTTACATGTACATGTACTTACTACATGTCCTTTTTTGTTTCTCTTACTTTCTTTTTTTCCGATTAGAAATTGTGAATTTAATCGTGTATGGTAGCTCAAAAACCACAGGAGTAAATACGAGTCCTGGTCCTGGTCAGGCTGTCTTTCTGACATGGCTTAATAGGAACATTTTCATCTCTAACAGATATTTTTGGTATTTGGGGCATCAAGCTGTCACCTATGAACCGACATACAATAAACCTTTAGTTAGATTTAGTTATGTTCTATGCAGTAGGCAATTCCTTCATTTTTACAGGGGGTGTGCACCAGCTTTTAGGGTTAGGGTTAGGCATTTAGTTGTAATGGTTAAGGGTAGGGTAAGTGGCTAGGTATTGCATTATGTCTATCTACCAACAAATGGCCACCGATGTAGACATTTCTCTTGGTGCTGCTAATGGTCAGTCCGACAGTGACAGTGTTTGTGAGGGGAAGAGGTGAAGACTTAGACTAAAGAGTGATTTGCTTTACTACTGTGTGCTTTCTAGCTAGTTGCTCAGGGGAAATAAGCCAATGTAAATTAGCGAAATGTGCCACAGTTGGGTCATAACACCTATTACATGACATTTTATCCATTCTTAATATAAAAAGGCTGATTAGAGCATAACAACGGTGATTTCCTGCTCAAAAGTAGAAGAATTTCAATATGGGTGCAGATGTTGCACTGTGTTATAATAGTATTATTCATATTTTGGACTTGAGGCGAACTGCATGTGTCTATTTTTCTTTTTCCTCTTCCTCTTTTGGTGTGTCTTCTTAATGGTGCTCTCTGAAGTACAGGTCACAATGAAAATTTGCAAATACATTTTTCAAAAACCAGTGCAACCTATGAACAATTACTACAATTACCAAATTAATATTTATAATGTCAACAGGGTGCATTGTAGTACCCTCTGGCATTTACATATGATAATATAAATGTAAAATTAAAAATAAAAATTTTCTGCAGCAAGAGATTAAATTCACATAATGGCAGGTGGAAATGGAAATGACTTACTTCTACTGTAGGAGACCAGGACATCAACCCACACGTTACCAAAGACCACGTATTAAAACTCACATCAATAACCAGAGGAGATGCACAGAAATCTTAGCAAACACATAATGTTTTTGGAATATTCATTTAATAGGTAGACAAACACACACACTCCTCACATGCACATACTAACACACTGTACACCCAGCGCATGTACACCAGCCTAAATCCAAAACTGCAGTGTAACTGGATTATAACCAGGGAATTTATCACATAATCTTTTGTAGATTGTCAGTTTGGTGGACATGTGCAAATAAGAGGAAGATGTGGCGTGAGCTGGACAGAGTGTTCAGATCTTTATTGCATCTCAACGTGGACAGTGGAAACTCATTAATATCTGTTGTAAATGTAATCTGATAAAAAATCAATCAAATTGCACATAGATGCACTGTATGAATGTGTGTGAATGGAAAATAAAATTACCACTTTGTTCATCAAGATTAAAAGAGTGTGATACATTTAGACCATCTATTATTTTAGGAAATACGCAATACACTCTGTATTTGGTATGTGTTTGATTATGCTGTTAGCTTTGTGACCTAACCATATGTCAACATCACATGATATCTTGAGGTTGTCCAGTATTGCTAGAAATGCTTCAGCAGCTGTGTGTGGGCATGATTTTAGATTGAAAATGACCTCAAGGTTAACATTACAGGTAGGGAAATATGTGTGTGGGTGTGTGTCCGTCCGAGTTTTCATAATAGAGGCCAGTTACGGTCAGGTTTGGCAACACACAAATTAACATAAACACACACTCGCACAAGTTCTCACAAAATTTGTTAACATGCCAAAACCTCCCGTAGCTCATCCTTTCTTTACCTCACATAACACAGCTGCACATCTTTCACTCTTTTATTCTCTTTTTGATTTCATTTGACTGTGCAAAGAGTAGTTTTGTATTTCTTCTTGATGTAGCCTCTGTCCTCGAAGCTACGTCTCCAAAAGAAAACTTCTAAATGCCATCAATATGTCCCAATTGTTGCAGCAAATCCAGAAAGTGAAAACATATGGACTGAATAAGAAACCTAGAAAATAAATGAAAAGCAATCAAATTTTATTTAAAGGCTGAATGCACCTGTGTACCTTTCAAAGTTCATCTCCTTCAATCTGCAGAACATTTCTACAGTAGAAAGATATTTCTTTAAATCTCCTCTATCCTCTTGTTTCAAATTCATTCACAGAGCTATAAAATATACTGTAGTGCATTGAAAGCTTTGGTTTTGACAAACATTATCCATATATTTATAGCAGTGAATAATGTGTCATTCACACTCCCTTCTTTCCCTGTCCACAGCACAAAGACCCCTAAGCGGGCTGTATTTGCAGGGAGCATGCAGCTGCTGGCTGGCATCAAGCTGTGCACAGGCAGAGTTCTCACCAACCACCCCCATTATGAAGATAAAGACCTGCGGGAGAGGACCAGACAGGTAACGCAGGCTGCACTACACTGAAGAACATGCACGAGGGTGTAGAAACTACCAGAGGGGCTGCAAGATAACGTAAACTCAGTAAATGGAAAAGTATAAATTTGACGTCAACATATGGTAATGACATTGTCAGCTACACAAAGGAGTCGTGCGGGTTTGAAAACCAATTAGCAGCTTGTATTAGCTTTAAGATAGTTAGAAATCATGATTCAATATATTCAATATTTGAATGTTCAAAGCGAGATGGAGTCATCGCTGTGTGTTCAGATGGAACATGAAGGGCGTGGACTTCCTTTGCTTTCTCTCTGTTTGATTATCAGTGTTTACACCAGTGTATTACACAGAACATACGATAAGATATCATATGATGGAGAGCACGCGTTAGTATTTGAAATTTAATTTAAGACCATTTGATGCTATAGATACTAGACCCGCTCCCTGAACAGCAGTTGTTAAGCTTAGAAACTTAAAACAGGCACAGCGGGTCTGTCCACCTCAATATTATGCATTTTTATGGTGTTAAGGTTGTGGGCATGGAGGGGGCTGGGAGAACACCTTCCCCTGTACTCGAGGATCAATCAATGCAGGTGAGAGCTGTTAGCTGATTGATCCTCAGGTTTAAAAGGCAGCAGCTGCCAGAGAAGGACTGAGAACGCTGAGAGACATGAAGACATTCAGCTTAGCTGCAAAGCCAGACACCAGCACAAAGTGCCGCTACTTTAAGTTTGGTGTTTTGAGAGTTTTTGTTTGGATTTAATAAAGTAATGCTGAAAAGCAACAGTTTTGTCTCTGGCTGTGTGTGGAAGACCCCGGTGGCATGGTCATTTGACACAAAGGTCTTTTAGGCTAGCTATAACATCTCAGCAACAACGAGAAATATTCACAATGAAATACAAAATATATACAGTTCCTTCAGTATCTATGCAAACCTCTTCAAATTTGTTACAAGACCTAATGCTGTACTGTTTAACTAGTCTTGAAACAGCATTACTCTTGGATCTTTATGCCCTCTGTTCAGTTCTTTGACAGGTTTAGATTTCCTCTGCTTGGTTTGCAGCACTAAGCTCTGTTCCGCACCTGCTAATTCTGGAACCTGTAATGGGTATATTTATATCCAGGGATATTTTTCCTTTGACAATCACCTTCACAGAAATAAATAAAAATATAGTCAATGGATTATTGCTCTACCTGCTCCAATGTAATCTGTCGATAAAATTAATACAATAAAATAAAAAATAAATGTTTGCATGCCTGTCTCACTAGATTAGTACTATATAAGCATTTCCCACAGAATTCATTCATTCTATGGCAGCACCTGATATGCACACCAACATCACTCTCACACGTAACAGATTCGGGCAGGCAGGTTCACAGTCTAAAGAGTAAAAGACGAGAGAGAGCTGTATTGCAACTTTCGGAAACACAACTAAAGCTGTAACTATGACGTCTGACTGTCTGCTTGGATCGTTACAATAGCGTTCATGCCACTAATAGCGCAGCACTCAGCTTATACAATGTAGTAATGGAGCAAAACACAGTTGGAAATCTGTTACGTTATCATGAGAAGAATAAAAATATTTTGGTTTATTATGAAATTGTAGCAGGACAAATTTGAAAATGTTCGGGCCCCACAGTCTAATGGGAAACACAGAGCATATATATTGTCATAATAATAATAAAAGTAATTAACTTCCAGGTTCTGTACGAGAAGTAAGAAAAGCCCATCCTAGCAATCCACCTTCTCCAACAGTATTGTTGTCTATTCAATATACATGCTTTTGTGGGGTGTTTGACGAATGAGCTGTAGACATCTGTGTTCTATATGTCATTATTCAATAAAGGAGGAAAATTAGGGGGTCGCAGGAATGGAACACCATTCCAGGAATGGCGTTTCTCTATTTCTCTGGCAATCTATTGTCCGCTAGCATCCAGTGGACAAGTCCCCAACTGAGTCCGCTCTGTGTGACAGCCCAGACAGCCAAGGTGGCCAGGGCTTCCACTTTTTTTTAATATTCCCTCTCCTTTGTGGTGCCGTCTCTGCATTCATGGTGTTAGTGAAACTCAGAAAAACTACAAATGTTCGCCCAAGTTGAAACATTTTAAGCTGAGGTGGTTGTGCTCTCTCTCCATCTAAAAAGGGCCAAGAGCAAATTGACTTGCTTGTCTCCGTTTTTGTATTTCTGACAACTAATTACAGCTATGCTTCTTCGAAATATAACTTTATCCTGTAAAATACAATAGAACAGCACCATTCACCAATGTTTATTCTTTTTTAAGCTGTGGTTATTTGATACCTAAAGTGTATGTCATCAGATGTCTGTTCTTCATATTAACAAGAACAGTGAGTGTAGTAAAACAAGCTGATTAATGTATTTATCTGCATGTTTATAACCACAATTTGTTTCAAGGTCAAAAACAACTAAATTAAAGACTAGATAAAGAGAGAAATCTGTATTGTGCAGCTGCAGATAAAGCCCCATTGCCTCACCCATCCATCTCCCTCAGTTCTGTGCTAATGTCTTGTGTGAGAGACCGGGGAATTGTCTTTAGATGAGGCCAGTGACCTGCAGTGATTGTGTGAATGAATATGGGATCAGAAGATGTAGTGAGTACAAAATGCATCCATTAAGTCAGACTGAATAGTATAATGAAGGGAAAATGCTGTGTCCCAGCAAAGGGGAGATGAATGGTGGCACTGGCACTTTGAGTGCATCTTAGACAGAAATGCTCTAGTAGAGATTTTTGTTTTGGATTGATGTGAATACAAAAGGTGTCAGTATAATGGAGGAAACCATTTCCCACACTGAGCTAAGTATTTTTATTTATTTTATTTATACAGATGAGTCCTATTGAGATTACATGATCTCTTACAATGAAGCACTAGTAAAGAAAGCTCCAAGCAACATACAGCAAACATTTAAAAATACATAGAATAAAACAAGACAAAATAAAAAGCACAATAACAACTTACAGAATGATTCTCCTGGATAAAGCCAGACAGAATGTAAATTAAACCTCAATAGATTTTGCCTCCAAACATCACTACATTTTTAAAAGCCCTAATTGGGATCAGCTCATCTCGCGGTGAATCAGTCTGCAAATGGTCCTAAGCTTCAAGAGCAGAGAACAGAAAATAATGTTTGCCACGTTCTTTGCAAACCCTAGGGACAGCCAGTTAAAGGGGGCCATTAAAGTTGCAACAAATAATATTGGTTTTAAACAAGATAGACTTGTAGGTAAGAGATGGAACTGTACTTTGAAATGTAGGATACAATTATGAGTTATAGCAAGCACTGGGCAGAGGCATCCATATACAGCGAATCCCCGTAGTAAAGCAAAGGGAGGAAAGTAGCATCAAACAATTGTTTTTCTTAGTGAAATAGGAAAAGCAGGATTTATTACTTCAACTATTCACTAATTCAGTCTGCCTTCCTCGCAGTTATTAATGTTAATGACTTCCCAAAATAAGAAAACAGTTCATTTTTGTTGCTCATAACAGTTTTAAACAACCATGACTCTACCAAACACATATATGCCAATACACAATTCACTGAGCAAGCTTTGCACCATAGCAGTAAATTACTATATCATCATTGAACCTTTGTATTTGGGATGTTTTGAGCCAAAAAAAGAAACGAACGCAGACCCCAGATGAAAAAGTGCCATCAAGTCTTCTACTTCCTTTCAGAGAACCTCTGTGTATTTTAACTGTTACAAACATTTTAAAATTCCAATAGCCTATTCAGAAAACTCAATACTGAGCAGACACAGTTTCAGGATAAGGTGGTAAACGGTATCAGATCCTTTGAAAGATAAAATAAAAAACTAAAGTTGTTTTGTGTTTCATCCAGTCACTCAATTATATTGTTAACCACATCAGCGGTGTCTCGACTTTATTTTTTTTAATTTTGCCAAGTAATTGTATGGGCATAAAATGGCTGTGTGTTCATTTAATTAAACGGCTGACAATGAATATATAAACTTGTTCACGCTCAAACATTCTATAAAACAGCCAATTAAAGCCATAGTCAGCCGTAGTCAATTAGCTTTGCTGTTATCAATTTTTCTCGGCTTCTACTTCTTGTGTGTGTGTGTCTACTTTACAATGAGCAGGATGTAATGGACGGGTCATTTCTTGGGCGGCTGAACCCATGTTTTGCCTCCCAGAGGGTAGTCAGCCATGCTGAGCCACTGGCGAGGCCAGAGCTTAGTGAGGAGCTCATTAATGATCAACAACAATGTTGCCAACCCTTTAGGCTGTGTGTGTGTGTGTGTGTGTGTGTGTATATTACATTAACAATCTAAAGTCTCTGATTTGTGTGACTGCTAATTATTTTATTGATGGATATCATTAGTCATTTATTTGTTTATTGTTTTGCTTTTATGAATGACTTTGCATATCATACCCAGGTGAACTGGGAGCTACAGGTGAAAAAAAACACCCTTTGTCCATAACACTGCAAAGTTCCAGAAACAGAAAAGGTTGAGCATCCCCAAAAATATATGACCTTGGTGCATTCCTGTAGTTTGAAAGATATGGTTGGTGTTATTCTGCATATTTTGTCAGCAAATCCCATTAAATGACCAAACCCAACAAGTCTCTCAATACTCTGACCTCCCTATCTTATTTGTGAGTCTTGACTCCAAATTATTTGTTCCTACACAACGGTATAAATCTGTCAAAATTAGTCACAAATTAATAGTTTAATTGAAAAGTCTGTACGATTTCTTAAGACATAATTAATTGTTGGCTTGTGTAGAAAATAACCAGATTTATTTGAAGGTTGAAAGCTTGTTGTTGAGCCATGCAGTTCATCATTTAAAAAAAGAGATTTTGTATCCTTTATATACATTTTCAGACCAAAACAACACAAACTGAAGAAATTTAAGAATTTACAAATGATAATTAATTTGCAGTTTGTAATTGTATGAGCCATTGATGTGCATAGGTTGTATATCGGTCCCTTGTGCAAGCCACTGCTTAATTGAAATCTGCAAGGTACACTTATAGTAAATATGATAAAGATTTGTTCTTATTCTCAGTGATTGTAAGTATATATGTTCACAAACAAGAATGTAGAGTACATGCCATTTATTACATCTATATATTTTTATATAATTCAGATATGCACTGACACTGTTTTCATGATTTGTCCCTTTACAACTGTTGCTGTGTGAAATTGGTCACTGTGACAGTTGACCATGCCACGGCGCTCTGCCACACGCAGCCAGAGACAAGGGTGTTGCTTTTCAGCATGACTTGATAAGATCCACACAGAAGGAACAAACATAAATCTACAAGAACGTAAACTCGCCAGCTGTTTCAGCTGGCACTCCGGCTTTTCAGCTCAGCAATCTATCATGTGTCTCTGTCCAGCGTGTGTCTCCGTCAGTCAGTCCTCTGTGACGCTGTGCGTGTCTCGAGGCAGCTCTGCACTGATGGATCCTCATGTCCAGGTGAAGCTGCTCTCCCAGCCCCCTCCACAGATAAAAAGATAAAATATTAAGAGATCCCAGAAAGCTCAGCGCTGCTTTGGTTATCACCTTTGTTTTTGTTCTCCCTCTGATTTTGTTTCACTTTTTTGTAATGATTTTGTTTTCATACCGATTTTTCAGTAAACATGTTATAATTAAATCTGAACTAACTTTCATCAAAACTGTAAAATAAATGTGCCTGGATGTTTTCTCCCTCCAACAATGTTGGTTGTTACTTTGTAAAGCCAGACGATCTTTAGGGGGAAAAATCAATCACAAATCTACACAAACATAAACGAATCCACTTGTATTGTTGTGCGTTAATGAGCAGGTCTATCAGGTGTACGCTCGTCAGTCCCCGGAGGACGTCCACGAGATCCTGAGAGCTGTGGGAGCCGACTACGTGGTGCTGGAGAACAGCATCTGTTACGAGCGGAGGCACAGGCGAGGCTGCAGACTGCGGGACCTGCTCGACCTGGCCAACGGACATGTGGGTGGCATTTATTTAATGACTCATCATGATTGTGTGCGGCCGCATGTTCCGTCCTCTCTGCTGACTTCTGGGACTGGGTGAAAGCTCTCAGCCTCCACAAAGATCAATAGTCTTACTTCTCATCTCCATGTCACTGTCTGTCACTCTCACTCTCTCGCTGTCGCTCTCTCCCTGTCGCTCTCTCTTTCGTTCCTCTCAGCCTCCCAACCCCAGCTCCCGCTGTCTCTCCTTATTTTGATGTTGGATGCCGCACTCTGGCTATTTGGATTACCAGAGGCGAGACAAGCTTCAATCTGACTGTCTGGCTCAGTGTGGTGTAAGACACATGAAACACATAGCTGATGTGTGCCTGTGTTTGTGATGGTGTAAATGTCACACAGCGTACACAACATCTGACATCTAGACAGCTTTATTGAAGGAATGCTGGGTTTACATCTATCTGTTCTTTCTCTCATTGGTTTGGTTCTTTTTTTCTTTTTTAGTTTCTTAGTTTCCTTGTCTATCTGTCTTTATGATTGTCCTTTTCGGCCTTCTTATTTTTTTGTTGAATCCAGAGCCCTCATCTATTTACTGTTATTACTGTTATTAATCTAGAGAGGAACATTAGGTTCCTATGAACTCTAAGTGAATGTTTATGCCTTTTTTTAAAGTACGAGATCATCAGTCAAAATGTCAGTTAATCTGCTTCATCAGGACAATGTTGATGGTTTGATCAGATTTGAAACATAAAGAAATGAATGACCCCAATCATTCTGATTTAAACGTTTATACAGTATATGTGACCATCAAGGACAAAACAAAATGATCTTATTCAATGTTGAGTTGTTTGTTTGGTCTTGATGCTACCAAAATTAAATACTTTTTTAATAAACCTCCAAAAACATTTTCTGGGGCAGGATTTTTTTCATTTTATTAAGACAATTTGTCAAGAAACTATTTCTTTATAAACTTGCAGTGTTTTATTAATATAGCAATCAATAATGAGGAAAAATATTTTGAAGAATAAAAATCGGTGGCTACATTTCGACTCATAGGTCCCGCTATACTCACACCTGATGTCCAGACTGCTGTGGCGTTGTCAAGCACCTTAAACAGAAGGAAGTCTGGAGGTGCATGTTTGCTTCCTGATTGATCAGTAATGGCGGATCCTTTTCTGATTCATCTCGTGACCCTTTTCCAGAAGATAACAAACTGCAGCTGTGAATTTAACACTGATAACAAATTACAAGCACTGCTGACCTTGTTGTCTCTGCTTGCAGCTGCTATGCAATTTTATTATTAGCGTGGATCAACTCACAGCCAGCTACAAATATACTTCAGTGTTAACAATCTGACATTCTTGCTGCTGTTCTCTGTGCCATCAGATCATGGATGGACCCGGAGAGAACGACCCGGACCTTGTCCCTGCCTCCCACCCTCGATTTTGCGAGGCTGTCAAGACGGACCCACCAGATTACACGGCTCTGTTCACCAGAACATTCCAGAACAAAACCTTCCACGTGTACAGGGTCAAGAAGAAACGCAAGAAAAATGCCAAGACTTTATCAGAGCCCAGTGCGACTCAATAGAAGGAGCAGGGCTGTAAGAAAAACCCCGTCAGAGGTCAGAGAGGAGAGAGACGGAGGAGAAGAAGAGATAAAAGCACTGAATCCTCGCTGTTCTTCTGTCTCCTCTCTGCACAGTGCCCAGCTGTGATCATGCCCATTATTTTTTAACACACGGCTCTGTGAACTGTGGTGATGGAGCGGTGAGCAGGTTCAAGCTCGGCGCTGCATTGTTTTAGTTAGAGGAGTGTGGGAGCATCTGTAGAGAGTCCTGCTTTGGGTTGTTTCTGCCTCCACCCGTCCACCTGCTCTTCTCCCAGCTCTCACCGGTACAGATGAAAAGAGACAGAAAGAAATGGCAGAGTCTGGAACAACTAACCACTAAGGATTTAGTGTCATATGAAGTCATCATTGTCATTTCCACACAGGGCATCATGAAAAGAGGATCAAAGTCATTGCTACTGTTCTTATGAATTATTAGAATAATTGGTTTCTCTTTCATGCAGAATAGGTTTGGGGTTCAACCACAGTCATCCACGGCCAACATCAGATCAGAACCTTTTAAAATCCTTGATCACGTTTAGTATTTTAGGTCCACTTTTAAGATTTGACAATGTAATACTCCGATGGACAGAGCATTTTTCTGGATACGCAGTATATTACATACGGTGTTTTCTGTTGAGATCTTCTTTACCAGTTGAAATATATGAAATAAATCAAAGAATTGCCAAAAGATTTTGTTGATCTCAACAAATATTTAATACGAGTTTGAGCTAGATCCACAATGGAGGCTGGCTATGGGAACCCAACAAGTGTTTCGACAAGTTAGAGCTACTGCAGTGGTGGAAATTCACATTGCCAGTTAGTAAATTAGCTGTATTTGCAAAATGTGGATCAAAACTCGAACAATAGGTTCTCTCTAAATATCCCAACATTAGCCAATAAAACTAAGGAAGCACTGTAGTGATCTGAGAAATAATATGATTGTCAAGGCCACACCAGAAAGAGTTTTAGTTGACGGAGGAGAAGAAACAAAAGTCTACTGGACCGCCCGCGCATGTAAATGAGCTAATTTAGCCTCAACCGTTTTGGACCCTGTGGCTCTGCCATCCCACAAAAGTCAGCAGAGATGGTGAAAGAGCCACTGTGATGAATTAATTATATTCTAAAGTTTCTGGTTTGTCTTTATGATTTCACCCACAGCATGTTTAGGACTGAACTTTTGTGTTCATTTAAAAGTGAAGTGCAAATTCTACTCTTGACAGTGGATGTAACAATATCATCCCAACTCAAAGTCCACCGCTTTCAGACTGAACTCCAGATAATCTCCTGAAGTTCTTCGGAGGGGCAACACAAATGTCCGAGTCAGTTCCCCAGAGTAAACACTCTGGGGAATGTCTGAATGAGCCCGTGTGAGAACACAGCAGGAGATTATCTAGAGGACTCACAGCGAGTGAGTGGGCATGTTGAAGTTTCTAACACGCAACATGATGTGACACTAAAAAAAACCTAAAATCTCAGTGTGAAAAAGTGGAGCCATACAGGTTGTCACCTTGAAAAGACTTTAAGAGTCGATGTGCCGCAAACAAAAACCTGTGATCTCCACAGCTGAATTGCGATGCATTCTATGTCACCCCCACCTAAACACTCCAGAGAATCCTGTGTTGCTGTGAACGTGTCTGAGCGGAGAATGTCCTGCTGTGCTGTTCATTCAACATTTCCTGGAGTGGAACCTGACTTTGTCACAGATCAGATACACGTACATGCTTATAGTTGCATTTTCAGATTTTAGGTCCCTTTCTAAAAGGAAGAGCGCATTGCTCGAGCACATTTGACTCCGCAGCGATAGATGTTCTCAATTACCCCGAGAAACCAGACAGAAATAATTTAGTTGGTTTCGACTCTGGCCTTCGTGGAAGCAGGTTCCCTCGCTGCCTGAATGTGTTTCTGCTGTAAAAACCGAGGTGAAAGCTGGTACCAAGTGATATTTGTGACAGTGTTGTTGTTGTTGTGATTGCTGTCATGTGTGTTTTTTTTTTCTTTTTGTAAGCTCTGTGATTCTCATCAGCAGCAGCCACAACCTTTTCCCTCTCTGTTCTCTCTCTGTCTCACACACACACAGTCACAAACACACATGAATAATGTAAGTGGTGAGGAAATTGCAGCAGGCTAACAACGCCGCTGATTCCCCGCCGCAATCCAAAATAGTTTGTGACGGGGGGGGGGAGAGGGAGAGGGCCCACACTTGCATATCAAACTGAGGCTTTGTGGTTAGAGAGGAAATGGCGGGTGGGGTGGAGAGGGGAGGACAGAAAAGGCTCATATTTAAACAGCAGCAGACGAGGGATGAGAAGTGCATCAGAACATCGCAATGATCTGAACCTCTCCCTCGTTTTTTCTTTTATCTCCTCTCAAAGGGGTGGGGGGGTTGAAAGGCTGGTACTATGTCGATAATAATTGATCGGCCACACATGGTGTCGCCTGCTACAATGAGCCATTATGTGGGTATTACACACTTCTCCCTCGTTCACATCTCAGTCAGCCTGTATTTGTACACTTGTTAATAAGGACCTCCGTCTTTGAAAATCCACACCCTCGCAGACGCACGAACACTCTTGCCAGGTTGTTATGGCGCATTCCATAACGTGTTGTTAGTTAACCGCACAGCTACATTGTAATGCATACCAATTAGATCAGTGCGAAACAGTGGCGCACTGACCCCCCCCCCCCCTGCACGCCTTCATATTGGATGTTAAATTTAGAAGGTCTGATTGCTTTATTTGAACAAAGTGATTCCATTATGTTTGCCTAATAAGAGCGTACTAATGTAATTTTTTTTCAGCATTGTTAATTTCCATACATATTGGGATTAGTAGTTCACTCGGAGACGTGATGTCTGCCTATGGTTCCCGTAATGAAAAGGAGATGAAGAGATCCATTAAGTTGTGTGCACATAGAATGCAGCTCAACACTTCATTTAGCCTTGTTTTAAAGAACTAGTAGATGTTGCTGAAACAAATGCAGCCACTTGAATTCTGGCCTTTTGTTTCAGAAATGAATCATTTAAAGGTTCAGTGTGTAAGATTTAGGTGAAAGGGATTGTTGGCAGATATTGAATATAAATTAATCCTAGTGATGTTTTCACTGGTGTGTTTCATATAAATTGTATGAATTGTTGTTTTCTTTACCTTAGAATGAACCCTTTATATTTAAATACTTTATATTAACATGGAACTGAAGTTCAACAAAGGTTCTCCTTCATGTTGGGAAGGGGGGGAGTGAGGGGTGTTCAGCTGCAATATGCAACTTCACCTCTAGATGTCACTAAATTCTACACACTGAACTTTTAACAGAGTGTAGGATTTTTCTTTTTCATAAACTGGAGAGCATGTTTGAAGTTGGAGAGTGATGTTTTGGTGATGAAGCCTGGTTCTAAGATGATTCTCTTCTCAAAGGCTGAGGATGTCGGCTCTATGCAGTCCCACTGTTGGATACGGGAAGTGTACACGGATCAATCACTATGTTAAACCACTGATGTGTAGTGAATAATATTGATTAGCATTACGATGGCAACTATCAAGGGGTGGGATGTAATAGGCAGTAAATTAGGTTCTAGAAGTTATTGTGTTACAGAGGCAGGAAAAATAAACCATGCACCATGACGTCATTTTTTCTGTACCCTGTCAAAGTAACCGTCCATATGGGTCTGTCAAAGACATCTAGATAACACCCCCACAACAAGGGCGGGAACCTTTATTCCTCCTGACTATAACATTCTATTGGATGGGGAGTTTTGACAGACTCCAGCAGACGCAAGGAGAAAATCTGAAGCGCAGGAAATTAAAGCACAGGGTGTTTTTGAGTGCGAGCGGAAAATTAAAACAAGTCTTGCTCTCAAACTGAAATATATCCTCTTGAATAAAGGAAGAGGAAAAAAAACCATCCAAGTATTCATGTATTTGAAACGTTCGGTTACAACTGATGGAGCACTTAGTACTAATACTACTACGGAAGTTCCTCAATACCATCACTGTTACACCAACTCTGGCTCAAATGACATCATAAATAAGATGGCAGCTCCTATATCTGGGATATTTTGGCTTCATTGTACAGTGGGAAGACGCGTCATCCATCTTTATGTACAGTGTACGGCTCTCCTGGTTTGCAGTGCTACATTAAGCGGTACATCCATGCTACCACAGGCCAGAGTTGTTTTTGCACGTGTGTCCTCAACAGTATTCAGTTAGTGGTTTGAATGTGATCGTATTATTCCAGTTTGTTATCACAAGCAGAAGGGATCAACTGAGTCTGATACATTTCAGATCTAAATGTTCTATCTACTTCTGACGAACTGCAGTTTTGCTAACTGTGCCATTCTGAGAGTTGTTAAGTGGAAGCATCAATACAGAGGCTTCTCACTGAGTCTGTGCCATTTAAAAACATCGCAACTATTTGTGGTTGTGACATTTCCACAGGGAGTATAAGGGTTTCAATAGCGTGTGTTGACAGACCACTGTGCACACACTGGTACTACAGAAGTGACTGACAGGAAACTGTTGCACCTTGTGACCCTGAATATTATCATCTTGAGCACAGGTACTGATACGGTCTGAGTGGAAACAGATGACTTCTGGGTTTATATAAAAAAATGATGTATGTTTGTGAGTGCCTGTGGCTATTTCCTCTATTTTGATGTCCTTTTTTTTTTTTGACTCCACTTTACTCATGTTGTTCAGCTAGGTTTTCTACTGTTGGACATTTTTCATATCAGACATCAAACGCACTAGTGAATGTTTACAACCCAAAAGTGTTTCCGTGCCAAGCAATGTACTGGTGGAAGTGATATGTGATATAACCTGAGTTGAGTTGAAATCTTTTCCAATGCCAGTGGTAGTTATTAGACACATCTATGTTCCATGACAGTATGACCAATAAAAGTATTTCTTTTTCAGTATGTGTGGTCAGAACCTTCATTTTCTCTTTCTTTTTACAGATGCAGTCATGATGCAGCACAGTCACTGGTGCAAATAAAAGAATTTATTGAGGAAAGAAAATGATCAAAGCAAATACAAAACACTTACATAACTGTCCAAAGCTCATCACCATCATGATGATAAGAAAGATATGTCCGGTTAGATTCTTTTTATTTTGTCTTAGAAGCTACACATTTTAAACCTATGGTGCTTTTCTTGGCAAACAGCGATACTTGTAACGGATCTATCTTTGTATTTACAAATGAGGTAAAAACATTAACTATGTTCACAACAGGTCTGCACCCAGAACACAACATTTAGGAAGCTGCTTTATGGTACAAATGAATGGAGATGGGAATTGAGCTGCTGCTCTGCACAGCTGCAGAGAGGAGGAAGTGAGGCATGAAGCATCTTCATCCCCCCCACTCTGTGTGGCTCAGCCTCACTCTACAGGAGAATAAAAACATCCCTGCCTAGGAAATACCTACTCTCTATTAAAATAAACGAAGAATCCTGTGTCTAACTATCAGGTGTCATCCCACAGTGTGCTGCAGCCTCACCTGACAGCCAAGTCTCTCATTTTCAAAATCCGCAGTTGCCTCGGCTTTCCATAAAATAGCACGTTTCTGGAGAGCCGCAATCTGGGAATCGACTCCTCTGTTGACTTTTTTTTAAAAGTACCCGCAATCCTTTGGTGTCTTTTCGCAGCGTGACAGCAAGCCATCAGCTTCTATTAGGCTTAGTGGCCTGACGTGTTTTCACACATTCCTACCCTCTAAATGCTCTCTGCCAACAGGCTCGGCTCTGCCAAATGTGAAGACGAATGAGAACAAAAAAAGAGCACGATGACAGTGGTGCAGCTGCTTCCAGCAGAACAAACCACCTGAAATACCAGGAGAAGCCAGTTTTGCTTTTCTTTTTTGTTTTGTGGGGGGTGATTGCTTGAAGAAAAGTGGATGAGGGGGTGTGTTGTTGTGGGAGTGAGGACTCGTGTATTTATGCCATTTGCTGTGCAACAAACCGTTTCTGCAGAAAACCATTTCTCCCAGCATCTGTCCCCTCTCTACAGCTCCCTGCGGAGCCACTGAGCTCCATGGTGCACTAGTGGCAAATTTCACCACAGAGCCAGGCACTTGTTAAGATGATTCTTCCCTGCCTCCCTCGCTCATTCACTCTCTGATTCAACCCTCTATCCTGTAATCATCTCTCTTATCAAAGGTGAAAAGAACAGGCCCCTTTCTGCTCTCCCCCTTCGCTGCTTGTTATTGTTCTTTGCCTCTTCTTTTGCCCTTTCTTCTCAATGTTTCTACAACAGCAGGAAGTCCCTTTTTCGTGAAGTTGAGAGGGGTGAAAAAAAAGGATCCATCAACTTGATGTGAGAGAGAAGGCAAACCAGAGGAACGCTTGCCACTGTGCCCAAAGCTCAGATAATAAGTGTTATTTCAGTCCAATTTCCCACAATCACAATTATAACTCACTTTCAGCCAAGTGAATGTGAATTTAGCAAGGGACAATGCTCAAGAGTTGTTTTTGAAATGCATATGGCACAGGTATGATAGGTCAGAACTATATTTGTATTATCATTACACATTAAATCATCCTCTTCCTACATTTGTTTTTATTGAGTAGACACCTTTGAAAGCCATGTGGCGTTATTTGTATTCTACCGAGCCATTGTCAGTTAAAATAGTCTCTGGCAGCCACCACATTTGGTATGCCTGAGAAAGAGTGTGCATGGAGCAGAGCAACAGAGCAAGCATTTCCTCTCTCCTGAGGTCCGCACGTCCAGTCCCATTTCTTTGTAACGAAGCTGTTTGAATTTTTGTGCACCCTCCCTCGGGTGAGGAGGAACAGGCAGCAGAGGAGTGGGAACGAGAATAGGAAATCAAATGAACACGAGGGTGCAGTAGTAAGTAGAAAGCTTGATGTTTTACAACCCACGGAGCTTTGAAACTTGAAACACCCAACCAATACAGAATTACTCAACTCAGCGAAAGACACTTTACCAGAAAAAAAAAAAGTCACCCCGCAAACCAGTGATGGTCGAAGCACTTTTTCTCATACAAACATTGATAGAAGCTGTGTACAGCCAGGCAGTGAGAACACCACGTGTCCACTATATAGTGAAAATCCAAACCGTATCATAAGGGCTATAGTCAGTATGATCCCACCCATTTTCACTGCTTCATTACTTAACGGTGCAGTGTGGAATATACTGTCCTCTCTTTATTTACAAAGATTCAATTCAGCAACAAGGTGCTAAAAATACATTTTATGTAAAACTTGGCCAAAATGTGTTTTGTGTTACATTTAAGTCCAGAGCAGCTCACGATGTTAGAATTAGAAAACAGAGGGCATTTGGGTTTTTCATCATTTTCTTCCGACAGTGAAGCTAAGCTCCATCATGATGAGTAGCCGTGGTGGAGGGTTGTGTCCTGAAGCCTTTAACCTGACTGGCAGGTTTGATAAAGTCTGCTCCTTCAATATTGTTGTCCGAAGTGGAGGGAGCACAAAGCGACAGGGTCTTTTCAGAGGGACACTTTCATCTGTCTGTTAAGCCGCCGCATTGATTGACAGGCCTCATCATCCAGTAAATACAACACCTTCCGTATAAGTTGCCAGCAAGTGCTGGGAGTCTCTCTCTGTCACTCAGCCGCTCGCTGATTTTCCGCCTCGGTCACCAGTAAGTGTCTAATTAATTGTTTCAGGCGGGCCGGTTTTCAAGGTCCTAGCAGTTTTGGTCTGGGTACACCCGAACTCAGAGGTCGCTGGCCTCCGCTCGCTCATACAAGGCCCGCAGCTTCTCAAAGCGAGGCCCCCACTCCTCGAGTGTCTCCTCTCTCCTCGCCTCCCCTCCTCCTTCCCCGCCACTGGCCCCATCCAGCCCCGCTGAGCTGAAAGAGCTGAGGGACCCGGCGGGCGAGCCTCCTCCCTCAGTGGAGAAGACCTGCAGGGAGTCGAAAGGCCCAGTGTCTGGATGCTGGTCGGCATCGCGGATGATCTCGCACAGGTAGCGTGCCAGGTCCTGGCTGGAGAAGGACAGGGAGCGGCGCGCCAGCTGGGAGGGCCGGGCTTGGCCCTGGGCCGGGAGCCTTGCAGGGGGGACATCCCTGCGGATGCTGGTGGTGGTGGTAGCGGTGGAGGAGGTGGAGGCTGCTGAGGGGGGCAGGGTTGTGGAGCTGGCTGTCCGACTGAGGGAGTCCAGCGGCTGGACGGAGGGCGTGGCAGGGGGCGCCTGGTGTAGCAAGTGGTGGTGATGGTGAGGAGGAGGAGGGTGGTGCAGGGCTCTGGAGCGGCAGTACTGGACCGACTGGGCCGGGCTCGGCTGGAGGGACTTCTGCAGCTCTGCCATGTCATAGGCATTCTGGAAACACAAATAAACAGCCACACACATGAGCAGAGAAAAACTCCAGCACAGAAGCTGTGAAAAAAGGAGAGAAAGACTGAATGTTTTAGGGGAAAGGCAGTAAAAAAATGAAATGTGGCAGTGAGAGAGAAGAAATGAAAAGAGAGGTGAAAGACAATCAGCTCTTCCTGTTACCTTCGCTGTGAACGTTTCACCTGTTTAAGTTTCCAATCTATCTCCATTTACTGTCTCAGAGAATTATCATACATTTGAGTGGACTGTCTGTGTGTGTGTGTGTGTGTGGTCTGTGTGTGTCTGTGTGCGTGTGTGTGTGCATGTGTGAGGCAGAGGAGATAAAAACTATGGGTGGAAGTGATTAATACAGGCGATGAAGGGCTTCTCTCTCTTTCCATCCATTCCTCATATTCTGTTGAATTGGGGTATAGTAGACGCCACTTAGCCCAGTTCACGCTTCTGCATCAAAGCTACGCTGTAGGTAAGCATGTAGCCTACACGCAGGCCAAGCATTCATTCATGGTTATGCAAAGGTGTGAGTGTGAGTCATGCTGCAATTACACCGCCATGCCGCCAGTGGCAGTACAGTAACTGCGGGTTTTGAGTCTCTTCCGAATTCTGGTCCACTTATTTACAAATTCTCTGGCATCTCTGTTTACTTCAGAACAATGGCAACTGAGCATATCGTGTTGGAGTTGGAGCTGATAGATGTAAGAGAGAAGTTATTATGTCATAAAGAACTGTAACGAAGAAAAGAAAGTTCGTTCCTTCAGCTCAATTTTGAGTTAGGACTAACACTCACACACACTGTGACCGCTGTATCCAGTCTCTTGAGCGCTAATGTGACTGCACCAAAACTGTAACCACGGCAGCAGAGATGAAAAGGAAGAAGAAAAAACAGAAAAACCCAGGGACGTGGGAGGAGGAGGAAGAGACGATACACACGAAGAGGTGTGGGTCGCTTTGTAAAACTGATTATGTGATGAGTGGAAAGTGCTGTTTTTATTCCTCAAGAGAGCTTTCAAACAGGACCCTTGAGAATTAACTACAGCATCTGCTCTGCTATAGGGGATCTGTGTGTGTGTGTGTGTGTGTGTGTGTGTGTGTGTTTGCTTTGCATGTTTGACTGCAAGTGATTTACAATAAGGGGGACAAGACCTTGAGGGCTTTAGGATACCAGGTGTGATTACAACCTGTGTAAGAAGGTATCTTTTCCAATTCTGTGTTTGTGTGTGTGTGTGTGTGTGTGTGTGTGTGTGTGTGTGTGTGTGTRTGTGTGTGAGCAAATGTGTGCACAAGCAGCACAGCAGCTATGTGTGTTTGTTTCGATCAAAGCCTCGACATTATACAGGCGCTTAAGGACTGCTGAGTACTTGTGGGTTACAGTGGCTGTTGTATTTTGTGTGGGCCTAATTAAAACGTTAATTAAAACGATAATTAAAACACATGCAGTGAATCCATTTTATCCACTGCTATAAGTATTTCCAAAATAATCAATACCAATAACAGCCAGAATTTTGTTGTTGAAAAATGATTCACCTTCATGGAAGTGCAGGTATAAAAGCGTTTTAATGGTGAGAACACGTGTGTGAGTGTACGTGTGGGTGATGTACCTGGTCCTCCTCCCCACCTCCCTCCTCGTCATAGTTGAGGACGTTCTCTCGGATGTCCTCCCATCCGTCGTGGTGCGCTGAGACGTGGTAAACGCCCTCCTTCAGCCCTTTGTAGCTCCTCCAGCGGGTGTAGAGGAAAATGCCCAGCAGCAGCACTGTGGTTGAGACAGACAGTAGCGCAGGTTTAATCAGTGCAGGCATTAGCAGTACATATTAAATTAAATTCAATTAAAAGATCCTTCAGTCAATTAAGGCACGGCCAAAGAGAGAATTGCTATTTAATGGAGCCTTGAGCATCATTTGCTGACAAAAAGTGATAGGAAATGTGGTAATTTGTCTGGGTTTGATTTGAAAATAAGGCTTGGAGTCTTTACAACAAAACATTTTCCTCTGTTCAATCATATACCAACAACCCCTTATTCTTCTGCCCAATGTGTCTGGTAACACCACAGCCAAGAGAGGGGACAGCAGAGAGAAATTGTTGAGGTTTGCAAAGCAACTGGCGAAATGATGCTAAAAGACTAATTAATTGTTAGCTTCAGAGCACATCTGATTTAGTGGGATGTGAAAATGCTGCATATCAAGGGAAAATGATGGATGTTATGCTGCTTAACATTAGTATCATCACAGGAACGTTTCAGACCAAAAGCAATTGATGCATTCGAGATACAGTAACTTCAGTAACTGCCAAAGGAACAACAGGAGGATTCAGTACTTTCATACTTAAGCTGGACTGGGTCAATGTATCTGTCATTATATTGGATAAAGGTAACACTCTTCAACACGTTGATCTGTTATTATATATATACATATATATATATATATATATATATATATATATATATGTATATATATATATATATAAAATAAACATATCAGAGCTTGATAGACTGGCTAGTACCAGTCTAATATTCACTTAACTGGAAATATAATTCTGATTCACAGCTTCAGTCCTTTGCACCATTATCTCTGAGTTAAGGGTATTTATATTGTCCCTGAGATTATGACAGACCTCGTAGTTGGCGAATAACTTTAAGATTATAGCCACCGCAGTCACTGTAGACAGTGTTTGGTTGTGAATTAAATAAGCTTCAAAGATGCTGCCCAGGCCTTTCATTAGAGCTACTTACACTCCCATAACTGACAGCTTAAAAATCTGAATTATTCTCATAATACATGGATAGTCTAACATTGCAAGAGCGATGATTGCTAATTAAAAAGTGGTAGCTTTTGATTTGTGGGTTTATTGCAGACAGTGGGCAGCAGATACAGACACACGCTTCATCCCACCTGCATTCTTTTACCCACTCAAGCATTGCTGTGACCTTTTCACATGAACAACAAATCCGCTGTGTCTTGTCTCCCAACTCCTCTTGCCTTAGTTAACACTTCACAATTCACTAGCCTTTAATAACCTGCTTTATATACACACACACACACACACACACACACACATACACAAACACACACATCACACATATATTTATAACCCTGTGTCATTATTTGGCTGCTGTTTTTCAAAAAGGCGCATAAGAACAAAATGAGCAACTCTTTGGACAAACCTTTCCTACTCACCAGCCACCAACTGTGCCCTGTGAGCGAGAGGCACACTTGTCTTCGCTCCTACTCTGTTCAGTTGAAGAGAGGCAGAGCAGAGGTTTTGTTACCCAGAAAGAGGGTGAGTGTTGTGTGAGACATGAAAGCTGCTTTCAAGCATATTGTACCCCTGAACTTTTCAAGACACTGCCCGGAGGAGCTGTATGTGTGAACGCAAATGTAGGAATCTGTCAAACCCATATCTGTTTAGTCCTATATAAAGATGGATGACAGTACTGCGCCACTAAATTGGAGCCAAAACCTTTTGATCGCCACCTGGTGGCTGGCAGCCTCCTCCATGTTAGTAGATGGGATATGCTTGGGCCAAATGAAAAAGTCAAGCTACACATCAGAAACATTTTATTACAGATGGTTTCAGTTATTTTTTTGTAGTTCTTAACTGATGTATGTTCAAGTGCTCTCGCTCCAAATGCACAAGATGGTGGTGTGCATATTCAATATTTTATCTACATTAAGTAGATAGTTGGAGGATGTGGAGGCACGTCATCCATCTTTATATACAGTGTATGGTTGAACCATACAGTAAATAGACTTTACCATATTCTCCATGGTACATGGTCTACGTCGTGTCCAGCTGAGCTGATGTGAGAATGGAGTTGGTCAGTGAGCAGAGAATTCACTGCATATTTCCATTAGATGAGAAGTCATCTCATACAGACAATCTCTGGGTTGTGCTGCATTTGAAAAGGCAACTTTCAACATTATCTGGAGTCAATTTGTCAAATAATCTGTCACCTCTAGCTTCCCCTCGTGGTCCTTTTAGGAGAAAAAACTGAAATAAACACATGGTGCAGATCTTGTCTTTAGTTATGTGCCTGATGGACGTCAAATGGGCCATGTGTCAGTCATTATTGCATACATCAAGAAAACATGTAAATGAGAACATCTGTGTGGGGAATCCAGCTGCAGTAAAACAGTAAACGTGAGCACAGAGAGATCATAAAGGGCTGAAACCTACTGACACTATAGCACACCATGGATATGCAAATCAGTTCCACAACAGTTTTCACTGCATCTCAACTAGACACTTTGACATATATGGTGAGGCCATATACATGGTCCTGGCCAAGTCTTGTTTCCCTTCAAAGCTTTTTTCTAAAAATAGACAAGTATTTCTTCAGTTCTTCTTTCCATGCAGAACTGCTAAAGTAGCAACTTTTAGAAGATAAAATGTCGAGATCATGTTTAATCATTTACAACCAAATGTCATTAATTAATCCTGACTGAATAATTTTTGGAATCATTCTCCATCTTCAAATCTGTTTTTGCACAGACCGCACAAAGGAGAGCTGTCTTTAATCACATTTGAGAGCAGCAGCAATCACATACCGTAAACGATTTTAACTGGCAGGGCTATAAATACACCGGCTGCTCAAATCCTATTAATCTGAGGTAAGACTTCACCATAAAAAAAAATCTGTGATCTTAAACAATTCCATGACATCTTTTAAATACGCACTGTTCCCGTCTCCCCCTCCATCCACCTCTGCTCCTCTTTTAAATCCACACATCCTGCTCCTACATCACAGCTAGCACCCAGCAGCCAATCCATCATGTAAGCACACCAACAGACAACACTCAAAGTCCCTGTGAATTGATAACACTCCATTAAAAGGCCCACCCTCTGACAACTCTGTGAGAGTAAAGTCACTCAGCCAGAAACCAGCTGCACACTGCAAGAGGAAAAATCAATATTCATTTACTGTCAACTTGTCATCCTTACCACAACTACTGTGTCGGACAGATTTATAAGATGAAATTGTTTCAAGAGTTCCGCTGTTTAAGAGTGGCATTATGACTTTAAATGACAAGAGAAGGAAGAATATTACGGAATAAAGTAACCTGAGTGACAGACTTTTGGCAGAAAACACACAGAGAGAGTTTGATGTTAGAGAGGCAGTGAATTGGCAAAAACAAGGTCACTGGTTCAGTTTCCTGCCCCGACTGCAGTGGTCCTCGTTTACTGTGAGGTGGCCTGAGCCACCCAAACACAGAGGCAGTGTTGAGAAGCAGCTGGTCGCTGCAGCAGCAGAGTTTCTCTGAGCCAATGTGAATACGAGGCCTGAGGCTGGGTCACATTAAATGATAAAAAATAAGTTCTGTCTCTGTGCTGACAGAACGAGATAATGAACAGAATGCTCTATTATTTAATTCAATGTACATGATCCCTCCACAGAATCTACATAAATCAGAGTCTTAGCACTGACATATTTCAATAAACAATGCACACTAACATGGTAACCACAAAATAACAAGTGCATTTAAAAACACAAGTCAGATGGAAATGTTGTGCCTGTTTTCTGACCATGTGAGATGCATTTTTTTTTTAATTATACATGCGTTTAATGTTATTTTACTGAGGGACAGTTGTGTGGTGGTAACAGTGCAAAAATGTAGTTATTCTCCAGTAAAGGCAAGAAAAGAGGAAACTGGTTAGCCACCAAACATCAATGTAAATGACGCTGCTAGTATATTTGGAGAAGAAGTGAAAAGCCAATGGTAAAGCTAGCTGCCTATGCTATCATCTGGCATAACCTTTTATTTATGTTTTTTTTATTAATGTTCCCTTTTTAGATCTCTAAAATATTTGTTTCTATATAAATATGTATCAGATTGACCTCATTATACTCTTTGTGTTCCATATCTCTTTCCACTCCCCAATAAGCACACATGGGACTGCTGCAGCTCAGGAAGCAGAGCAGGTCATCATCTAACAACCAAAGGTTTAGCCGGTGGATCCCAGTCTCCCCCAGTCCGTGTGATGGAGGGCCCTTGGGCAAGATACTGAACCCCGAAGTTACTGAACCATAAACAACACCTGATGGCTGTGCAGTGAAGAGAAAGTGCTGCACATATGGATATGGTATGAATGTGTGTGAATGGATGAATGGCCCTTTGAGTGCAACATAAATACAGACCATATACCATGCTTTTCTTTTGCAGTGTGATCAGCATGCAACCGATGCTACTCGAATGAAAAAACAGGTTCTGGTATGTATGCACTGTGTATACTGTAGTGCACGTACATGTGCAAACAAAGAACACACTTCACATTGACTCTATTAAAATTTCTTTTGTCTCACTTGGGTGAAAAAATACACAGCAAACAAGCTGGGCTGCAATGTGAACAGAGGCACAGAAAGAAATCTGATCTGGAGCTGCCTGTGAGTGAGACTGTACTGCAGGGATCAATACCGTCTACATCCTCCTCCATGCATTAGGGCTTCTGCCTTTATGAGTGGAAAGACACCTATAGACAGATCGAAGCAGAGAAACTGCAGATACAACAGGTGTGTCACTGCTTGTGGAGGTTTTGTCTTAATGTGTTTACATTTGCTTCCATCTGCCCTGTGTACGTGCGTGCGTGTGTTTGAAGAAATGGCGAGTGTGAGCTCCATGGGGAAGTGAGCAAGGAAGCAGGAGGTCAGGGCATACAAGATGAATCTGCTCTGTTCAAAGGCCCTCTCTAGAGGGCAAACAGAAGAATGGAGAAATTTATTGGTATTTCTGACTGTGTGTATGTGTATCTGTGTGTGTG